AATAGTATTTCTTACTAAATTTATTGTAATTTTTATATTGTTATGTAAATATGTGAGTTTTACCATCTAAGGACTGCAGATGAAAACTAGCCTTTTGGCTAATTCTGGCATTTTGACAGAAATGTTTATTAACCTGTTAACTGTCACCCGCCTTTTTTGAATGGACATGGAAATGCACATTTCGAACTTAAATGGTTGTAATTCAGGAATGCTTTGGAATATGGACGTAAGATTGGTTCTCGTTTTAAAGAAGATATTTGTCCGAGTTTTGTAGAAGTGAAATAAATTAAGAAAGTCAAACAAAAAAAAAGTTACAGAAGATTGAGTTTATAGAAATGTACAATGTAAAAAAAAATAATTATTCGTATTTTATATAAAATATATATTTTCAAAACATGGGCTACTCTAAAACTGCAGAAAAACCAAGTTTTGTTTAAAATTTTAGGTTGATATTGCAAAAAATGAGCTTTCAGTGAGATTTTGTTTGGCCGCAGTACCGAACGCTTCCACTAGAGGACAACCAGACTCCATTCCTCCATATGAACCATAATTTCCACAATTTTCATATAATTTACGAAATAGAGATCCTATTCAGAAGTGGTATGGGAAGTTTGGCAGATTTTGATATGATTTCAACCTCTAAGAAACATACAAAGAACACGCATGTGCGTTATAGCTTTCTGCCACATCACAAATGGTGAATTTATTATTATTTTCTTCATAGTTAAAACATTTTTCTACCTTTTTTTTTTGATGATTGTTCATGTTCATTGCTATTTCAAAGTAAAGGTCTGAACACGCCTTAGGAGTATAAAAATATTCTTGTTGCAAACGGCTCCTCTGGTGATTTTGGTGATTTTCAAAATAAATTACAGTCACCAAATATGTAAATCTAGAGATTGTAAGCTTTCAAATGATATATAGCTTGTCAATATCACTTAAGGTCTTTTCTAAGATATTATTGTTATATAGATATATTGTTTCCACCTGTGGGACGGTGACAGGTAAGGTTAATATACACGGTCCCTGTTTCGGTTCATATTTGTTTGTTTTCTTTATTTTAAGTTTTGTTGTTATTGTGAGTGTACACAAATAAAAATAAACCCTTGATCTTATCTGTATGACCATAAATTATTTCATTTTAAGTTCTTTCCGCTGGTATTGGGGAAAATGCGAGTGACCCCGTCAGTGCCCATGTGAACAGCGCTCAACTCGGTGTGCTATAACACTAGTAAACGCAAGACAACATGTAACAGAGCTTAGCGAAAGACCGGATGTGATGTGACGTGTCTAATGGCTGCCTGGAACATGTAAATACTGCTCAGACACACGAGTAGCGCAGTTGCTGTGCTTCTGGGGTAAGAGCCGCTCCGTCAGCGCCATCTACTGTCAGGCGTTCACTCGTTCGCCATGTGCTTTTCATCAGCGTTGGGTTGTCAACATCAGTGCGGATGCCTTTTTGACGTAGCACACGCGCTATGTTGCAAATATTAACCGTTTGATGGAAAAGTAATCTTCAAAAAAGCACCGCTGTCATTATTTGTTTCCAACCATCGATCGAAACGAATCTTTAAGCGCTTGAGAGTTAAATTTGCACTTTCCTATTTTGCTCTCGTCTACTGAGTGACCTTTCTTTGGCATGTTAGCGCTTCTGGGTTCGAATCTGCCCTCGTATGTTTTTGTTTCCTCATTAAAACCAAATGTGTTCATCAGAGATCGTATATCAGGAGCAGGGACGTGTGTGTGTGTGTGTGTGTGTGTGTGCCGTTTATTTCGTGATTTCACTGGAACGAAGAGAGTCTCCACAACGGGATTGAAGCGAGTCGCTGCCAGTGAATGAAAAGCATCACATTATTAAACACAAGCGAACGAGATTAATACTCTGCTAGTCAACTAGAGATGTTTCATTTGTTATAGATGCAGGTAAAACTCGGAAATGTTGAATATCGTGCAAAACAGGGCTCGAGACTAACGGCGTCCTATCGTCCAGGGGACGACAGAAAATGTGTTTAGGATGAACAGAAATATTCTCCAGGACGCCTGGAGGACGAAATACATTTTTGTATGTGTGTTCATTTATTACTAGCCTATTAGGTTAACTTATGCCAAATGCCAAAATACTATAGTAATACTATATACTACTTCGTTACTATAGTTACTATCACTGGCCGGCTACTCGCGGAGACTCGTTCCACGGTACATCTATCAAATGGCTTCATGACAACGCAAATATGTTGCGATGGTTAAACAACGGATATTCAATGAATAAGAACTAGATAGTGACTATTTGGCTAGAGATCCAGTCAGAACTGATGTCCTGCGTTTGTGGTAGATGCGCACATTTGAAGCCTACTGTTACGTGCTCTACCCAGCGGCACGCACCGCATATCTCATAAAACGTTAAAAAATTAAACGTCTGTGAGAATGAATGAGTAAAGCGCACTTATAGCCTATTCGGTGCGGTTTTCTGTGCGCATACACTGTACACACGACCAAACCTTGCCGCCATAGACATCTATACAGCGCGCGAGTACTGAATTGAGCTCTCTTTCGTCTGAATGGACAAAATAATACACACAACATTATGTCTAAATGTCCGTTTTTGGAGAGTATTCATGTAATGTCTTAACCGTTGTGAGTGTATCGGATGTGCATCAGTGCATTTGTATCCGCATGTCATTGGACATGATCCAATGTCTTAAAGTGACAGTAATGCGGTCACTGCTCGTTAATAGCTTTAATAAGGATTCGTTATATTTAATTCATACAAATAAATATGTCTGCTGCTTGAAAAAATAAAGAATGATGTAACTAAAGTAGTTAAAAAGAATGCAAATATCATTAATTGTGTTTTATCTATTTTCGGTAACACTTTACAATAAGGTCCGTTAGTTAACATTAGTTAACTACATTAGTTAATATGAACTGCACATATACAGCATTTATTGATCTTTGTTAATGTTAATTTCAACATTTACTAACATTTTATTTAAATCTTGTTAACATTAGTTAATGCACCGTGAACTAACATGAACAAACAATGAACAGCTGTATTTTTATTAACTAACGTTAACAAAGATGAATAAATACAGTAACATATGTATTGCTCATGGTTGGTTCATGTTAGTTAATACATTAACTAATGTTAACTAATGAACCCCTATTTTCAAATAACTATTTTGAATGAAGCTAAAAAAAATATATAATACTATATATCATAAACACTTTAATGTTGTTGTTAGTCACATACTAAAAAATAACAACTATAGATGATAATAAAGTACAGAAACAACATTTTTATTTTGGGACGGTTGACATTCAGTCTAGGACGGTTCAAATGGTTATTCAGGACGGTTTCCGGACGGAGGTGAAAAAAGTTAGTCTGGAGCCCTGGTGCAAAAGTTCAGTAATTCAACTTAAAAGGTGAAACTAATATATTATATAGACTCATTACATGCACAGTGAGATATTTCAAGCCTTTATTTGTTATAATTGTAACAAAATTATAACAAATAAAGGCTTGAAATATCTCACTCTACATGTAATGAGTCTATATAATATATTAGTTTCACCTTTTAAGTTGAATTACAGAACTTTTGCACGATATTCATATTTTCGAGTTTCGCCTGTATATCTGTGCCACGAAATGTTTCAAATACGACTGGAATATATCCGATCTGTCCGCTTACACGTGCACGTATCCGAAACCAAAACGAAAATAGGGATTCGATTTTACCTGCCTTTTATTTATTTATTTTTTTACTAAAAATGTGTTTTAGGACAGATCAGTACAGCACACAGAACATGTCGGATGCTGGAAAATAATGTCTTTTCTGTGAACGAATGCTTTTTAATATTCGCTATTACTTCAATGCAAGTGAACATGCGCACCGTTATTTGTTGCGTAGTGACGTGTGTGTGTGTGTGTGTGTGTTCAAGTAAGCCAGAGATGTGCAGATTCTGCAATACACTGTATTTAATATATCATGAGGATCACGTTTCGTATATTTGCGCTAAATCCACGCAGATTTGTCTTACACGAACTTCCCCAGCAAAGTGAGTAAACATAGAAACGCCAGATTGGCTCGTGATTGGACAGCGTTTCCCGCCTAAGCTCATCTGTACCCGCGTCTGGCGAGTCGAGTGTGTTAATCTCAATCCCTGAATGTTGCGCTCTTGTTTGTTATTGTGCAGAAACTTCATGCCAATAAATCATCAGGAATATTCATGACTCGTGCGTCTCAAGCGCCTCTTTGCGCTCGTCCTAATCCCTGTGAGGTGTCCGTGGATTCGCCTGTATTTGGTGTTGAAAATGGAAACGTCTTTAGACATGGAAGCTCGATTCAATGAACACTTATGTCTCGAAAATCAAGTGACAGCCCTACACAGAACGTGTTTTTTGAAAGCACTGCGCTACTTTTCCACTGGTTCTCTGTGTAAACGTGCTAGATGGATGCGTTTCGTAGCGCCGCGTGCATGACACGGCATTATAAAAACACGTTAAAAGAAGTTCAACTTAAAAAAAACACACATTTAAAGAGCTTGTTCGAGTGATCTTCATCTCGTGTTTCCGCAAAATCACGTTGTGTAATGCATTCTTACCTTTTTTTCAACTATTTCCTCCGCTTTGGAGGGCAACGCGAGTGTGTGTGTCCCTCGCCGGCTCTTTGGTGTTTGATCGACTGATAGGTCAATCCATTTAGAGTCAAAATGCCCAGAGCTTATCAACATAAATGACCACAATCTCGATAGCGTTCATCGCCCAGCCGTAGTTTGAGCACCTTCTTTCACCGACCGTTTGTATAAAGAGGAAAAATAATACATTTTGAAGGGTCATTTTGAACCCTATTTTAGCTGTAAATGACTCCCAAACACTGCTTAAAGCTCTCATCATCTTCTCGCTTCGCTTCATTTCCAGCTTAGATATTGTGCTATCAATTAAAACCGATAGATCAAAATATTGAAAGTAAAAGATGAGCGATTGTTGTGAGTTCCCATACCTCCGACCAGGTCCTTCTCCAAGAGCTGGATCTGCAGGGAGAAGATCTTCTCCTGGAGGTTGCATAAGGAGTGCTTGATCCTCTCTCTGCGGGTCACCATGTAGCACAAGTTTCTGACCTGGAGGAAAACACACCAGTCACTCAGATAGCTATGGTTAGGAGTTAGCATGTGTCTGTAAAACCTCGTGATAATGACTCCGTTTGCTACGTTCAGCTCCTTTGTAGGCAAAAAAATTGCATCACGTTTTATAACTCTTAGATCAATGAGAACATCTTTCTCCACCCAGATCCGCTGCTATAGGGTATAGCTTTTTTTTGTTTTTTTCGATACTGGTGCAAAATGGATACTTTTAAAACGGTACGGATACTAAACGGATACTTTATAAAAAAGAGAGCCTCAAAACGATGGTGAATGACATTAAATAATGTTTTTTAATGTAAAAAAAAAAAATATATATATATATATATATATATATATATATATATATATATATATATTAGGGCTGTCAAGCGATTAATCGCGATTAATAACATCCAAAATAAAAGTTTGTGTTTCCATAATATATGTGGGTGCACTGTGTGTATAATTATTTTATATATATAAATACACACACATACTTGTTTATATTTAAGAAATATTTTCATGTATATACTGTATATAGATTTATATATAATTTAAATTATATATAAATATACAAATTTTACATATAAATAATATTTTTTTTTTAAATATACATGCAAGTGTGTGTATTTATATATATAAAATAATTATACACACAGTGCACCCACATATATTATGTAAACACAAACTTTTATTTTGGATGCGATTAATCGCGATTAATCGTTTGACAGCTCTAATATATATATACACACACACACAGTATATACTGTGTATATATATATATATATATATAAAATTCTTAAAATTGAATATATTCAAATTTTTTAGTAAGTATATAAATATAAGTAGTCTAAATGCAAAAACACACCAAATTTACATAACAAATTCACAATAAAACCTAAGAGACCAAACCCAAATACAATAATTCGACACTAAATAGCACTACAGAACTACTAATAGCAAAGTAGTCTGTATTCTGAATGAATAATTGATTAGATGTAAACCGGTCTGTTACTGTATGGACATCGACTTTACATTTTCAGACTAAATATGACGCGGAACAAATATCGAACTGTGATTGGTTGCGTGTTTTGTCATTTAAGAGACCTTTATAATGATCATGATTCATGTTAGTTGATCTATAACGCACATGTTCAGAGAACTGAATCTGTCAGATTTAGGCCTAAAACACGTCAATTCATCCACGTCTCCCGAAATACATATTAAAGTAAGTGGCTGGTGAAGTGTGAGAAGAATAGACCATTTCACAAGATGTAAACAACACTGGTCCAGAAGCACTTCCTGTTTCAGTTTTTTAACTCTACATAAAAGCTGGGATAAAATACAACCAACAGAACATTTAAAACTGAATCAAAAAGTTAAACAAACATCTTTAAGATGCTTTCTTTACATGTGAAATAAAGAAAACAGTTACAAACTGAAACAGGAAGTGTTTCTGGACCAGTGTTGTTTACATCTTGTGAAATGGTCTATAGAGTAAGTTTTATAGTTCACCAACACAATGTGTATCTAAACACGTCATCCATTTATAATTGAAATGCATGTACAGAACCGGACGACAACACAATGCTGAATTAAGTCGCGATTTTTGTTTGTTTTTTTGGACCAAGATGTATTTTCAATGCTTCAAAACATTGTAACTAACCCACTGACGTCACATGACTGTCTTTATTTCCTTTCTGGACAAGGACAGCACACCGTACACACATTTACAATGAAAGCTCTCGGACTAAATCTAAAATATCTTAAACTGTGTCCTGAAGATGAACGGAGGTCTGACGAACTTGGGACGACATGAGGGGGAGTCATTAATGACGTCATTTTCATTTTTGGGTGAACTGTCCCCTTTAAGCGGCACCGAAATCTGCATTTCGCTTCGGTGACGTTTGTGACAGCTGTTAGCTGCGTTATTGGCAGCGTCAGCCTCTGGTTACATAGGGTCACCAACGCATCAGCACCAAAAACATGTGGATTTTTAATAGATATTCTATAATTAAATCAACTAATTGATTATTCAAAAATCATGACTCATAATGTTGAGGAAAGCGATGAGAGACGCCACACTCACCCTCTCCAGGTCCTGGCGCAGGTGTGTGAAGAGCTGGAGCCGGCGGTACAGGACGTCCTGCTCCTGCTGGGCCAGATTGTCCACCTCGTCCTTCTTCAAGACCACCAGCGGCTGGTTGAAGTTGGCCTTTCGTCGCAGCTTCCAGTATTGGAAGAGGAAGTCCACGTGAGCGTCTGGCAGAGAAAGGCTTTCCGCGACATCCTTGGGATCCACTAACGTGTAGAATTGGTCTTCAAGCTCCTGCAGCTTCTGCTTGCGATGGCTGGCTTTCTCCCGCTCGACCTGCTCCTGCTTCAGGCGGTCCGAGAGCATGCCGGGCAGGTCCAGGCGCGGCTCCGCACTCACGCCGCTGGTGGAGCGCGAGACGCTGCTGTGCTCCAGGCAGAACGACTTGAAGCGCACCTCGTCGTTCTCCGCCAGCGTGGTGCGCATCTCCAGCCCGTTGTCGAACGCACAGGTCACGTGGAAGGCCACGGCGCAGGACGGCATGGAGCACTGTGGGAACAGAACGGCATGTGCTTGTGCTCGTGTCCTTCCAAAACAGGAACACAAGAGCTTTCGAGCTCCCGTAAAAATATCGTCACAGTTAGGGCTGAACGATTAACCGATTAGCTAATCGCAAAAAGTAAATGAAAAAAATGTCCCAGACCGAAAGCACGTCCCACCAACCAACCCATCCGCTCTACCCCAAATAGGGATGGGACGATAACCGGTTTCACTATAAACCGTGATAAAATGTACTGACGGTTAGTATTATCGTTTAAAATTTAATTATCATTAAAACCGTGTTTGATTATCGCGATTTTAATAATTCACTGAATCCTGTCGGCCAGTCTGACGCAGGCGCGCAGCACGCAATGTTTTTTTAAATTACTATTCGAGAAGGAATGGCGGAAGGCAGTGACCGTGCTCAGGAGGTTTTTCAGCCTTTTAAGAGGACCAAATCTGAGGTGTGGTCTTACAAAAGTCCTGAGGGAAACTTGATCGAGGATGGTCACCCTGTCTGCCGAACAAAAAGTCACTGCAATAGAAACACTTCAAATCTGCCGAGTCGTCTTGTGTGATCGTCACCCGAACGCAAGGCAAGTTAACTTTGACCTCAATACCAAAACTACGTCTGGGAAACAATTTGGCACGAAATGTTGTTTTGAGTTGAAACATTTTATGTCACTCACTTGAAATAGACGTGAAGCTTCCGCGAAGAAAAGTTCGTAGCGAGTGGATTTGAGCCAAAGACGAACGAACAACTTCAAACAAGACTATTATTAAGAGGGATGTTTTAAGGGATAGTAAAGTATAGATACATCACGTATTAAACCGATTTTATTTTTACCACATAATTACGGGGACATATTGAATTGATAATGAGATTAGCTAATGTTTTAAATCTTACCTGTTTATGAATTCATTTTGTAAAACAATCGTCCAGACGAGATATATCACACCAATATTATCAAACTCTGTAAACAATAAATCAACTCTGATTTCATTTTTGCAATGCAATCAAAAACCGGAGACGCAAGACGGCAAGTTGTATTTAAATGAAACGAGAGCGCGCGTCCGTTGTGATATGGATGTGCGCTGTGTAATAATGCGTTGCTATTGACGACGGGCATTATAAAGAAGCAAATGCCATAGAGTAGAATCTTGCTTAAACTGCATAGAGAGGCTTGTTTTATTTGTTGTTTGTTGATTTTCAATTATAAAATGAAATGTTTTCAGTGTGAGCATCAGTTCTTTTTGAGCACTTTCATACATTTTTAACAAAAACCGTGATAATATTGATAATCACGATTATTTTGGACACTATAATCGTGATATCAAATTTTCATACCGTCCCATCCCTAACCCCAAAGCTAACCAGCTATTGTTTTTCGAAAAGAAAAACGAAAAGACGAGATAACACCAACATCATTAAACGATAACTGTGACTAAATAAATCTGCAATATCGCTGACCAAATACCTCAGGAATCGGATACTTTTAGTAAAATTTTAATTTCGATTCCTTCTATTTCTTTGTGTGCATTGTAATATGACTTGAAAACATTCGCGCGCTAGACGCTGTATTCTCTGTAGCGGTTTCTATGATACTTTTATGCTGCTCTTGTGTCTTGAAACGTAAAAGCATCAGTTTTCACAAATTATACGTATATAAGCATGTCCAGCTTTATGTGTAAACAAATAGTACACTCCTATAGGATATGAAATATATAGCAAATTGATTGATTGCTTGCTTGCTCTAATCTACTTAAATGAGAACGTAGAGCGTCAAGCTTTTAAAGTGATACTCCACTTTTTTTTTTGGAAATACGCTCATTTTACAACTCCCCCAGAGTTAAACTGTGGTGTTTTTTCCTCCATTTTCAGCAGAAATATCCTCACTAAAGTCTCAAATCACTCCCAGTCAGACATTTTTCTCTCATATGTTGCATATTTCATGCTGATATTTGGATAAAATCACAATTCTAACCTTTTTATGACTTTTCACTCTCCTGTGCGTACCCATGGATCTCACTCTGTGGTGTTTTTTCCTCCATTTTCTCCATTTTCAGCAGAAATATCCTCACTAAAGTCTCAAATCACTCCCAGTCAGACATTTTACTCTCATATGTTGCATGTGTCATGCAGATATTTGGAAACAATCACAATTCTAACCTTTTTATGACTTTATGACCTTTTTTGAATCCATTCAGCCGATCTCCGGCACCACTTTTAGCATAGCTTAGCATACATCATTGAAGTGCACAAGACCATTAGCATTTCTCAGAAAAAATTACCAAAGTGTTTTGATATTTTTCCTATTTAAAACTTGACTCTTCTATAGTTACATCGTGCACTAAGACAGACGGAAAATGTAAAGTTGCGATTCTCTAGACTGATATGACTAGGAACTATACTCTCATTCCTGCGTAATAATCAGGAAACTTCACTGTCGTACCATGAGTGCAGAAATGAGAAATTTCTGAGAAATGCTAACCCAGATAGCAGACTGACATTGAATCAACGTGGAAATATGACATCGAAACAACGTTGATCTGACTTTGTTTTGCTCATCGAATTAACGTTGACCCAACGTCAGACGCGTAATTCGTTCAAAACTAACGGAAAATCAACGTTGTTTCAACGTTATGAAAGCAGACCAATTTTCGATTTTCATTTAGCTTTGAAGACTGCCGCGACTGACGTTGGTTCAACGTTAATTCGATAAGCAAAATCAATGTTGTTTCGATTTAATGAGAGACCTCGTTTTCACGTTGATTCAATGTCAGTTTGCTGTCTGGGAATGGTCTTGTGCACTTCAATGATGTATGCTAAGCTATGCTAAAAGTGGTGCCGCCAGAACCGGAGATCGGCTGAATGGATTCAAAAAATGGGGGAGTTGTAAAATGAGCGTATTTCCAAAAAAAGTGGAGTATCCCTTTAAGATGTTACAAACATTAACATGATTTTCTGTAAGTCTGCTTTGAAATAAATGTGACTGGACTCTCTGAAGTCCCCGTCCGCTCGCTCTGCCGGTCTCTCACCTGTATGCCTGTGCCCGTGTGTTTGTGGTCTCTCACCTGTATGCCTGTATGCCCGTGTGTTTGTGGTCTCTCACCTGTATGCACGTGCCCGTGTGTTCGCGGCACAGGCTGCAGTACAGCGCCCATCGGCTGGCTGGGATGTGGGAGACTTTAGTGATGGGCTCCATCTTCTCAGGGCAGCCGATGCTCACCTGTGCCGACATGACACAACCCCAATCAGAAAACAAGAAGTGAACAATACGCAATCATATTACGCTTATTATACATCCGCATAAATTGGTGTTTGTCTGAAAAACAAAGAGTTTGATTTTGTAATTCATTTCTTGTTAAGTTTTTCATTCATAAATGCAGATCGTTTAAAGCTAAACCCGACTTGAATCAGTGGATGAATGAGGTTAAACTCTTGTGCAAATATTAAAAATGAGTGAAAATTGATTTTGTTTAAATAAAAAGATCTTTTGATTTATTTTTCATGCAATTTTATTTTTATTGTGACTTTTCTGTTTTACTAGCTTTATAAAAAATAATAATTTAATACATACAGGTGGAACTCGAAAAAATATGAATATGGTGCAAAAGTTCATTTATGTCAGTAATTCAACTTAAAGGTGAAACTAATATATTATATAGACTCATTACATGCAAAGTGCGATATTTCAAGACTTTATTCGTTATAATTGTGATTATGGATTACAGATATGAAAACCTTTTCACAATATTCTAATTTTGAATTTGGTGTTTTTATATCTGTAATCCATAATCATCACGATTATAACAAATAAAGGCTTGAAATATCTCACTGTGCATGTAATGAGTCTATATAATATATTAGTTTCACCTTTAAGTTGAATTAGTGAAATAAATTAACTTTTGCACCATATTCATATTTTTCCAGTTAGATTCAAGTTCAATTCATTAAAAATGAAATAAAATAGGCGAGTCTAGGAATTAAGCTTCGTATTGTAACACACCAGTCGAGTGTTTCCCCAATCCTCTCAGATTAGCATAAATGGGGAATAGGATCTAATTCACTGCGTCTGGAAGATGAGCCTTTTCACTCACTATCTACATCCTCGTCGCTCGGCTATTGTTACTGCCTCGCTCTTCAGTTTCTGTCATTTTATTATAACACCCATGTTGGCCAGGCTTTTCAAAAATCCCTTATCTTCTTGTCAATCCTTCTTTTGTCCTCCTCCGGATATTCAGAAGCCTTTTGCATGTAAAATAGAGCGCTAAATGTGTTACGCCTGTACAGAAACAGCTTGCCCTCAGCCTGACCGAACCATTTCCAGCTCAAAAGCTTTCCTTTCAATCACGTGACAAGACAAAGAGGAAAACATTTCAATTAGACCTCATCCATTATTAGCGTGCTAATCACAAGTTTCCTTTGGCGTCTTCCAGATGAATGCGTGTGAGCATGTTCTGTGGCCGATTGTGAACGGTGACGCGTTTATGATTTACTTTCTGCTTTTAATACTTTACTGTCAGACAATCATCTGTGACACAAAATTCAATCAAACGTGAATTTCAACTCAACTAGGGCTGCAACAAATCAAGAAAGTGAACAATCAGCATTGAATTTGCTCACTTTACACATCAAACTTTAAAAACAGGGAGGCAAAGTGATTCACTGTCGAAACCATATCGGACGGTTCATCACGATTACATATGATATCGATTCTCTTAGCCAGCGATACAATGTTTGCAGAAAAAATATTCTGTGATTCGATTGGATTCAGGGCTATATCGATATTTACTATTTAGATATTATATGTGCCATTTTTATTAACTCACAAATGCAACCAAACTATATACTGTAATATGAACATTTAATTAAACTCTTTGAAAAGTGCACACCCTCTCCCATTTGGGACATTTACAAGAGATGATTTGCAAAAACAAATAACTATCGATCAAACTGCAGCTGGGTTGTTTTGATTAGGTAATAATAACTATAATAAAATTACAGGTTACTTCCTAAATTAACGTTCATAGAAAGACAGTGTGGCGAGTAAACGAAAGCAGATATGTGTCACGTTAGGAATAAATATAGGAGCCTCATATTGATATCTAAGTGTGGCATCGATGCTCTCCCCAGACCAGCCTGATTTGATACCTCGGGGATCCATAAGGCACAGCTGACGTGGACCCACTTGGTCCCGCTGCGGGTGGGTTTGAGCGCTCCTCCTCGTCTGGGACACAGCAGACACTTGGCCTGCACCCCGAGAGCACAGGTCCGGCACAGCCAGTTCCCCTGCGGCACCTTCAGGATCCCGTAGCACGCCTGCGGAGACAACAGCACTCGGCTCAGCCAATCAGGAGCACACGTCAGGGGTTTCCCCAACGCATCGCTAGTCAACCACGGGCGCTAGTTCTGTCGCTATCAGCAGATCAATGAGTAAAATATGGGATCATGAGACTCAAAAAAACGCACTTTGGGCCAGATGTACGTACATCTGCGAACGCAGCGTTAACAGCGCCATGGCCAAGACGCAGAAAGCGCTTGATGTGTGTGTGTTATATACCTGCTGTTCATCAGCGGCCTGTTATAGCTCCATCATTGCTCAAAGTAAAAAAATATAATCCTTTATGATGTTAGTTTTAATTAAAAATATAATAAAAATTAAAAAAAATCAAGGAAATTTCTCTGGCATTTCTTTTTTTTTTGCTGTACCGTGACACAAGTGTATCGTATCGAACCAAAAACGCCTGAAAAGCGTTAGTACATCTGGCCCTTTGTGTGCAGTGAACATTTAGTCAGTGGCAAGTCAAATATACAAATGTCAAGTTTTATATAGGCCTATTATTAGGGCTGGGTATTGACACAAATTTCACAATTCAATTCGATTCCGATTCGATTCAATATGGATTATTTTGGATATCAGTTACAATAAATGGCCATTTTTCTCAAGGGAATCAAATCTCTTCACTAATGCTGTAAACTGTGGGAGTCTAGTTGTAGCCTATAGACTTCATTAGCCTAATATGAAGGTAATAATGAACTGTTTTGTAGCTACAAACACTTAAATTACACTTTTATTTATTTTTATAATAAGAAGATTATATGAAATATAAACATTTAAATGGTGGCTGTCATAAAAACTTGCCAGATTTATTCAAATATGCATTAAATATTGAAGAACATTAAGATTATAATGCATATGTAATATGGTGTATATATTTAGCAAAATGCTCCTCTCTGGAGTTATTTTTTTCTAGCTGACTAACGAGTTTATGTGGGTTTTCTGAGGTAAATATGACGATACATTGATTACAAGCTGTTTAACTGACGTCTTTCCACGGTTGAAACGCTGATTGAGCGAATCAATGTGAGATGATACGGATTTGGATAAGTTGTCCTCTATCTTTAACACACTTTCAGATGCTCATTCATGTTTATTTTGCGCTGTGACTGGTATTATTAAGCCGGAAGAGAGATCAGCGCTGCTGCTTCTCCAGAGCGATCTTACGCCACAGCGACAAAACGCTATTTATGTTTTTGAATTTCTAAAGAAAATGGACGTAATTTGAGACTTTGTTTCATATCAATAGTAACAAAGGACAAAGATTATTGCGTTTTTTTGGATGCGCGCAGCCGCGATACAATGATCCATTCATTCAAATGAAACAGGATGACTAATCGATTCTTGAGATTTAAGAATCGATATCGGTTCGTAAAAATGAGAATCGATTAATATCGAGAAATCGATATTTATTACCCAACCCTACCTATTGTATTTCTGTAAGCCAAGCTGTCCTGCCGCTCCAGCGGGCGTGAGTTAGATCTCAGGGTACTATGACCCTCAAGTGCTTGTATCCACTTTTCTCTTCTTAAACGCTTGTTTTTTCAGGTCGACAGCTTATAAAAACGTATTTTAGTTCTGGGTTGTTTAGCTTGTTTGCTGGACACCTGTCACAGCAGCGTTAAGACATTGTTTTGTTTTTTGTTATAAGTCAGAAATGACAAGGAGGCGGAGTCAATGGAGATGGTTGGATTGCTGATGTGGGCGTGGCCTAAATGCACTTGTCTCAATAGACCCCTTTTCATTTGGTACACATGGTGACGTTTTTTGTGGGCGGAGCTTAGCTGGAGGCAGAACGATCCCTCTGGCCGCTTCACTAATGCTAGTTAGCAAGTTTTGTTAGCTTGTTTTTTTAACAATGACTGGAGAAAATCCGATTTTATCTTACCGTGTAAGGTCACTCAGTGTCAAGGACCGCGATTGTTATTTGCAAAAATTAATTTTAAAGGACGGAACCAGATTGGCCGAGCCGTACACGCTCACTCAATGCATGGACGATCTGACAGGATTAACGCTAACGCTCCCTCCGGTTGAGTGGCCTGACTTCTACACCTATCCGAAAGAAAAAGCGAGCGTAAAGAGAAACTGAGGGCATATAAATCTTTAGATGCCTATATGGTCCTGTACAAGACTTGTGTGTACGATCCGCAGTTCTGCCGCCAGCGCAAAGAAGACGTCAATGTAAAGAGTGACATTACGGTGTATAATTTTAATGATGTGAATATTTTCTAGAAATAAAAATTCCAGATACAGCATATTCATTTTTCATTGATTTTTGCACCAAACAACACAACAAGATGACATTTAATAATAATAATAATTTAAGCTCCTTATAATGTAGCTGAGTCTGTGCTGGTTTGTATTAGCCGCCTCCAGTTGTCAGTTTGCCTCCAGCTAGCGCCGTGACGTAGCTGTGACGTTGACGCAAAAGCGGTCAAAGCAATGTGGGTAATTTTTGATGGAATACCTGGTGCACACAAACGTTGCACTTGTCGCAGAACACCATCTCGTTGCTGTCCTCCCCCTCGGGCGAGCGGCACACGTCACACACCACGTCCTCGTCGTACTCGATGCCCAGGCCCTCCTCCGTCTCGATGGCCCGCTGCATGTTCTGCTGACACCGGCTCTCCAGCTCCAGCACAACCTGCTCCATGGTGAGCTCGTCCAGCTCCGGCAGCGCTGGACACACACACACACTCGATCCTTAGCATTTTAAATCAATTATTGACCAGAACAAATGATTCACAATTCAAAAATCCATGTTTCAAGATTGTCAGGACTTGTAATGGATGCACGAGAGAATAATTCGACTAATTCCATAAAATTTAAAATAACACACTTCAGCTTTAGCGCTCACCCAGCTGTCTAAACTCGGCGTTCACCAGCTCCAGCCAGGCCACGTCCAGCTCGTCCAGGTCGTAGCGGCTCAGCGGCTCGCCGAGGCCATGTGACTCCCCGAAGCCGAACTCTGACGGGCCCCGGGCCTGGACCGGCGAGAAGAACGGGATCCGGCTGACCTCGGGAAGCTCCCTGGGGAAACACACCTCAGTGAACACACAATCCATCAGGCGTCAAGCGTTCAGAGATATAGATCACGGTCCGCTCAAAGGACTCAAAGTACTACGAGGACCGGTTCACCTTCAGTCCATCAGTGCTGAATCGGTACCAGAGAACGCATCTGGGCGCGAGACCTTTCGTTTACCCCTCCCCGACGAACGAGTACTTATGTTCTTTCCATTTCTTACAGGTTGTATTGTTGTTGCCCATAACACACTAGCATTCTGCCAGAAGCCATCTTTGAAAAATAGTCTCTACCAGTCGATCTACGAACGCCGATCCATGTGCGCCGGTGAGATGTGAATAAGGTGATAAGGTGAGTGCGAACAGTTCGTGTTTGAGTTTCTTCCAGAAACAACGGACCATATGAGATTCTGCACAGTTCAGCGCACTTGGATCGGCGTTCGTAGATCGACTGGTAGAGACTATTTTGCACTAGGTGCATTTTTTTTGCACCCTCAGATTCCAGATTTTCAATAGTATCTCAGAAAAATGTACAAAATTAGTCATATCCTAACACACCATACATCAAGGGAAAGCTTGTTTATTCAGCTTTATATGATGTATATATCACAACTTAAAAAAATACCCTTGTGACTGGTTTTGTGGTCCAGGGTCACATCTATTGTGTTTAAATGAGTCGAGCGCTTTACAAGAACCTCTTCATAAACACGACGGTTTTCAAGTAGTACTGTAAGCCCCTTTTACGAACCCTGAACCTTTACGAATCCCCGCAAAGATCCCCGCTTGTTTATTCAGCTTCCAGATGATGTGTACATCTCAATTTCACAATTGACCCTTGTGACTGGTCATGTGGTCACATGTTGGAAACAGTGTTGTCCCCTCACCTGACCACGGGCAGGGGAATGGCCTCCACGCTGGCCGGCACCTGCACACCCTTCTCCCACTCCTGCCTCCAGGGGTCCGACAGGAAGTAGAACTCCTCCGGGCTCAGCTGGGCCGAATCAGGCAACTTCATGGCGGTGATGAAGTCGGTCCGAAACACCTGAAAGAACATCGCCAACATTCGTCAGGGAGGCTTTCAAGAATGAAAGACCTTTGGCAAACACACCTGAAGAACATGATGTGTGGACAGAGGAACATCCATTACAGGGTTCGTACACCTTTACAAGGTCAAGCACTTTCAAGGTCCATTTTAAAGCTTTTCCAGCACCTTTCACCCCCGTACATTACATAGCAATACATAGTCAAATTTTATTTAGTGTTTTTATCATAGCACAGAGATAATGCTATATACGGCCAAACCATGTTTCGTAATAGCAGAAGGATCAGATATTTAAGCAAAACGCAGGTTTTATTTGTCTAAACGTAAGTTAATGCTCCCCTTAATAATAAATCTAGGACATGCCGTACAAACTGGTTCAGTCATATTGACGTGTGTGTCTTCCACTCTATGAAGTTTGGGCGGCCTATGAATAATACTCATTATATTAATGTCCAAATATTGCTTCCCAGATAATGTGATTTTCAGGCCGTGAAAATTGAAGTCATTTCAAGAGCTGAAAATATGAAGATGAGGGATTTGAACAGTAATATTTTACAGGCCTTGGTTTTGGGACACATTCTTGATACAGACGAGGTCTGAACTAAATCTGAGACGTTTTAAACCGGAGCGCACAGTCATAAATAGCCTTTATTCGTTGAAAAATAAAATAAAAGACATATAGAGCAGTGTGTAGTAATATTGCACACGGCCGTCGTCCGCTCACAGTATGTCTGACGCTCATCTGACAGGATTTCAGCAGTCGACGGCTGTTGTTATGCATGGGCTAACGCTACTATAGCCGCTTTCACAGAGAGTCAGGAATACACGGATAAAGTGACCCGGGTTTGTTTGATTTTGGTTCATTCATTTTCCGGAATCAAAGAGTGTGCTCACACACACAACCCAAAAAATCCTGTACAGACACGTGACATCGATGTGCCATAATGTCTCAGCGGCGTGCTGTAGTTTGCTCTTGAGCTGCGACTTCTCTCTAAACCACGCTTGTAGGGTTGGGTATCGTTTGAATTTGAACGATTCTGATTCCGATTCCGATTCCTTGTTTCGATTCCGGTTCCTAACGATTCTCGATTCCGATTCTTTTAAGAGGCAGGGTCAAAAAAGTTTAGCTAACCTTGCTAACCAACGGCCTTTCTAAAGGAAATACTCCTTCTGTAAAAATACTCCTTTTGTCACTAATTTTGCATTTTGTCGAGATTTCGTTATTTTTAGAAAAGCGAAGCCACACTTTGGATCGCCGACGTAAGCTACTCATGTTCGACTCGCGCGGTTATGCCAACACTTCCGGTAGACGCTTCTTCGTTGGTGTCGTTCAGCGGTTTCTTCTTCCGCTCGGCGGACTGTGAATATCGAAACTAGGAATCGAAATTTTTACTTTTGAACGATTCCGGGAAAAACGAAAAGTTAGTCTCGGTTCCAATCGATACTCGATTCTCGATACCCAACCCTACACGCTTGTGCCTTTTTCTCTCTGATTTGTTCATAGACCTGCGCATTACGTACCGTTTCACTGCTGGCGAACGACCCCTGCTTCATCATTACGATACACTGAATACGGCTGTTGTTCACACAGTGTGCGTACGGGACTGAACTAAATATTTTTTTGCTCTCTACTTTGTGTTTTAAATATATTGTTGTGCTTGCTTGTGTTGTAAAGCGGGTTGAGAATGCAATTTTTAAAGGCTCTAAACAAAATGTATTATTATTGTTATTAATATAAAATTACTTTACTTCACTGAAAATCTTGCCTTCCACCCAGTAGATTAATCTGTTGATGGTTTTTTTATATACAAATCTGCGCATTTGGCTTATTTTTGTTGAAAGTTGTAATGAAAATGAATGACTCTTGTTTTTAATGTTTTTAGGAAAGACTTTAACCAGTGCTGCTCACCTCAGAGGGCTTCTTCTGCTCATGACGCACCCACGTGCTGCTGGTCCCTGTGTTCTTGGAAGACCGTGACCAGGTGGTCACATGACCTGCAAGAGATTAAAACATTGCATTTATTAAAGCAAGTATTGCATTACATTATACGTTTTAAAACGGCAGAGCTTTGATCATAAAACTATGTAAATATCATCTTACAGATACTGAGTGATATTTCAGTGCATTATGCAATGCATACTGTTATAAAGATCTCGTTGATTTACGTCACTAGCATCAGAATTTAATCTCAATTTTTGTCCATATTTATATACAGTATATATACTATATATAGATATATTAGCATCATTCTGCACCATTTGAGTAATTGTCGATTATTAAAGAATAAACATTATTTACAACCCTAATCATTATTATAACTAATGTAAGATACAGGTGAAACTCAAAAAAATTGTGCAAAAGTTAATTTGTTTCAGTAATTCAACTTAAAAGGTGAAACTAATATATTATATAGACTCATTACATGCAAAGTCAGATATTTCAAGCCTTTATTTGTTATAATTTTGATGATTATGGCTTAAAGATATGAAAACCTTTTCACAATATTCTAATTTTGATTTTGGGGTTTTCATATCTGTAATCCATAATCATCACATTATAACAAAATAAATTAACTTTTACACCATATTTAGTTTTTTTGAGATTCACCTGTAATATTCAGGTTGGCAAATATTTCTATCAAAAGTACAAATATTATTATTGTTTTTTTTTTTTTATGTGTGTGTGTGTGTGTGTATAACTATACTTGCATAATATGTGTGTGTGTCTATATTATTTATACTCTATTACTATATTTACATTATTGTAACTTTCCGAAGATGAACCAAATAAAAGTACAAGTATTATTACACATATACTATTCCTGTGCATCATTTGACAGCAAAGCCTTAAAGATCAGTGTGAACTGTAAGTGTCATGAACTAAAGCGACACACTCGAGTCAGGAAACATTCTCTTATCCAGCTGAACAACTCGATCACATCGGATGAACACACACACACACTCTGTAAATAACGCTCTGCCGTGTGTTTTCCTCATCTGTGTTGATCACTCACTGTCAGTGGTGTCCGAGTCGTTGCTGCTGGTGGAGTACTTCCTCCTCTTCATCTCACTCTCCATCTGTCAGGGAGGAAGAACAGGATCAGACCCTGTGAAGACGACAGACACGTGTGTGTGTGTGTGTGTGTGTGTGTGTGTGTGTGTGTGAGAGTGAGGAAACACTTCACTGGCTGTTGGCAGATTAACTAGCCGTGAAACAGGGCTTTTCCCTTCTTGTTCTCGATCATCCCTTTACAGGAGACGGAGAATCCCTCTCGCTCGCTAGGGCTGCATGATTCAGCGGCAAACCTTATTACATTTAAATATTAGGGATTACGATATATAACCGGCTACTATATGATCACTATGATATATGATCATTTATATGTTATTGCTATCGGGCCGATAAGAACATTTGTCTGATATACTGTATTATTTCCTTCAGCGGAGACTGTCAACATGACGCTTTTGAACTGCTTGAAATATGACTGGATTCACTTCAAAATAAGGAAACTACAGTAAAGTAGTGCAACGTGTGATACAGAACTACATAACATTCAAATTAATTCATAAAAAAAAAAAAAATTCTCAAAAAAAATATTAATAAAAATTTGGATTCATATTTATCAGCCAAATATATCAGTTATTATAGGCTTTCAAAAATATAAAGAATTATCGGTATATGCAAAGGTATTTTCATTTAGGTGCATCCCTATGAAATATATGTATTTTATATCGCAATTTAACATTTGATTTGGCCAAAATGTTGCGATTATGCATACATATAGCTTTAAAAAAAGAATTAATAATTATGATTATTACTAAATAAAAAAAGATCATGAAACTTATAAAATTATTAAACTTATTCAACATTTAAAAAAAAAAAACATTTTATGAAATCCACACAAATTCGGTGTTGTGTTTTTTCTGGTAATCAAATAAAGAAATATAAAATTAATTTAATTTAGGGCTGTCAAACGATTAATCGCATCCAAAATAAAAGTTTGTGTTACATGATGTGTGTGCACTGTGTGTATAGTTATTTTATATATATAAATACACACACATGCATGTATATATTTAAGAAATATTTTCATGTATTTACTGTACAGATTTATATTTAATTTATATTATATCTAAATGTAAATATTTTATATATAAATAATATTTTTTTCTTAAATATACATGCATGTGTGTGTATTTATATATATACTATATATATATATATATATAAATAATAATTATACACAGTGCACCCACATATAATATGTAAACACAAACTTTTATTTTGGATGCGATTAATCATTTGCCAGCCCTAATTTAATTTCTTTTAATCATGAAATAATGATAATGATAGCACATTGTTTTATAATTTCACAGTCAAAAAAAAAAAACTAAATATGTGAAAAGTGTTCTAAAGGGTTAACAAAACACAGATGAAACCAGTGAGGACTAATGAGGGCAACCGAAAGAACTACAAAACCCAGACTCAGGAAACAGGAAACCAGAAATCCAAACAAACAGAGAGAGAACATGTGACAGGACGGAAGCATGCGGGGCTGGGCTAGGATGGGTACAGCTCTGCGGCACGAGCTGAGAGTGTGTGTGTGTGTGTGTGTGTGTGTGTGTAGAGCTGGATGTGTCCAGAGAGAAAGTGAGTGTGAACAGGAGTATTCTGGGTGAGAGAGAATAGACTGCAGTCCCCCAGGGAGAGAGAGAGATATCTTCAGCTGTTCTCCTGCACAGCACAGCCAATGCTGCTATTTATAGGAATATAGACACACACACACACACACAGCATCAGACCACTGATGTTACACGGCCCTGTTTACACCTGTAACTCTCTCTGGTGTTATAGACGGAGGCCGATAGTGAGTGAGACTCACAAACAAAAAGAGAGAGTGTGAACAGTTTTGTTTTATCAAGATGTTTTAAAAATTGTTATAATTAAAAAAAAGTGTTTAAATGACACAGTCAAAGCCAATTTTATAATACAATTATTCAAACATTATTTTTAAGGAAAGACCATTTTTCCCATGTTTTAATTTTAAACCACAAACCTATGTTTGCCAAAAATTAAAAGGGATTGCAGTCAAGACCTGCCGGAACTACTTTAGCCGTGCGTTTCCCTAGAAAATAATTGCATACCTTAGAACGTTCGTTAAGTTCAACCAATCAGAATCAAGCGGCCCGCCCCCCTAAAACGACCCCAGCCCCCCCTAAAATGCTGACGAAAACCAGTCATAAAAAAGGAATTTACTGTATATTTTCGAGAAATAAATAGATAGCGGTTCAGTACACAATCTAGTGTGTGTGAATATTAAACCACAAAGACTATTTAAATACGAATCCTGCTTGCCTTTTTCCGTGTGAATGAGTTTCATTTACCACACAGACACACTGAAGTACGTGTGGCGCTTGCGCTGTTTTTTGCCTATATGAAGACATTATGCCTATATTTGCCTATATGAAGACATAAACTTCCTCTCTAGATCCACTCTGAAAGTCACTTTGTGATTATTTAACCGCTTCATTTGAGAAACTATCATCATGACATACAGACACAGTAACTCCAAAGGTCTTCATGGCAACCCGTCAAAATAAAAGTTCAGTTTAACTTGACATAAATATATTACTGTTGTACAGTAGAATATCTGTCCAGATGTAATAATACACTAACACTAATCCAAATAAATTATGATTTTTTTTAACAAAATTGAATTTAAGAAATAATCCATGTTAAATAGCTCATCCTCATTGTGCAGCACTTTATTTGACGAAAAGTTTGATAAATGATAAAATTTGTGTTTTATGGCTTCATTTTATTACCAGCAAAAACACAGAATTAGTGTAATTTTTTTTCATATATATATATATTTTTTAAAAAGTTAATAATACATGATTTCAATTAATTATACATGCTTATTGATTGCTAAAAAAATGACATGCCCGCTCCGCAACACAAGCAGCCCCCCCCCCCAAAAAAAAAATATCCTAGGGGAAACACTGAACATATTATGGTATTTTTCTGCTTTAGTAGTGTGCAAGGGCCTTAACTCTACGATGGCTAAACTTTACAATTAATCCGTGAATCACATGCGCTCCAAGCACGCATCAACTACGATCCCTAAACTGTGATGACCATTACAGATGTGCACATCGCAATATTGATGCTAAATCGCTATATTGTGCGTTTGATTACTACAGTTTGATACATTTTTATAAAATAAAATAAAACAGAATCCAGAAACAAATTAAAACAGACAGAATTTATGAAAAGATGAAATATTTAAATTATGCACTATTATTGTTGAAATGTTAATGGTTAAAGAGGTCCTGTTATGCTATTGTCCATGTTCATCTTTCTTTAGTTAATGCTCTCCCTTCTGAACTCCCTGAAATGCCTCCAGTGTAGTCTCAAGATGATCAGACAAAAAATAAAATAGCAATGTAATTATTTAAGTTTTTTTCTTTTTAATAAATTAGCAAAGTGTCTCTCAGTTGATGAGCACCTTTCTCTGGTTTATAAATCCAAGCATGGTAATGTCAACTCTCTGTGTGAAAACACTCTTCTGGAGACATCCTCCCAACATCAGGACCACATCCATCTCTCACAGGCATCTAATCCGCCACACACACACACACACACACAGCCCTTCTGCTAGCATGCGTGACACAAATCCACTAGGATGGGGAGCTCACACAGGCAGAGCTTCATACATGAATAATTCCCGCACCCAATCAGAAACGCACACTGCTACCCATGTGACTGCCACGCCTCCTTCTCCACCAATCACAAGACAGCTGCCAAACACACTGAACGGATAAGCATTATGTATATTATTGGGGGTAATTTTGTTTTTCATTTATTACTCAAAGCTCACTTTAAGTTCTTTGATACTACATCGAAAACTACTAGCCTAACTGATCAAGTTCAAACATTATTAAAAACAAGTAGGGATGCACGATATATCGGCCAGCATATCGGTATCGGCCGATATATATGTTCATTTTTAAAGTTATCGTTATCGGCCAAAATGTGGCCGATATATTAAAGCTGATAAATTAAAGCTTCAGCTGAGACACTTGTTGAGCACTGTTTATGTTTTTGAATTTCTTGAAATATGATTGAAATCTCTTCAAAAAATGAAAATACGGTTCGGTACAACATGTGCAGCGCAAATCTGTCATATCGGCTATACAACACTATAACATGGACATGCATTTAATTGTGAGACTTGTGTTCTTGTAATCAGGCTCTCAAAATCAGATATTAATTTGGATTTAAGTTTATCGGCCGATATATCGGTTATCGGCTTTCAAATATAAAGAATTATCGGTTATCGGCCAAAATTTTCATATCGGTGCATCCCTATTAACAAGTGAAATGTCAATAATAAAATAAGAACAAATATACTAGTATTCAGTACAGAAGTACTCTTAATAATTAGGCCTGAACCTAAAATAACATTATTTGTTCACTGTAGAAACGGCTCGGCCAATCTGGTTCCGTCCTTTAAAATTAATTTTGGCAAATAACAATCACGGTCCTGGACACTGAGTGACCTTACACGGTAAGATAAAGTCGGATTTTCTCCAGTCATTGTTAAAAAAACAAGCTAACAAACTTGCTAACTAGCGTTAGTGAAGCGGCCAGAGGGATCGTTCTGCCTCCACCTAAGCTCCGCCCACAATAAACGTCACCATGTGTACCAAATGAAAAGGGGTCTATACAATTATAAAAAAAGGCTAATTTAAAATAATACAAATTATTTTTTACAATTTTTTTCGGTTTTTGGGCAAGAGCATCCAGAATTTTCAGTTTTGGCACAGAATTTTTATTTCTGTGCATCTCTAATTTGATAACTCATTTCCAAGTATTAGTAGCAATGAAAAATTACTCCATAATTGCAACTCTATTTCCTTAAAACAACAATATAAACATGATTCACCGCACAATTAATCAGATTCATAAGTTAAAGGAGCATAATATATAGATGTTACTGTTTGAGATGGTTGCGGCTTGCTATTGGTCAAACTCGCGAGTGACGGGTTGCCCCAAGAAGAGACATCACAGCAAAAGTGGGGGATGTTATAATTAATCAAAGATTATGAAAGCACATCATTTAAAACAAATATATTGATGCACGTAAAAATAATTTGTCACAATAATAAATCTCACAATATTCCATAAAAATAAGAACTGCAAATTTTGATTTCATGGTGACTTTCTTATTTTTTTATTTCTAATTTTTAATGTAACTTAGGTATTTGAAATGGAAAACCAGACTAGTAAAACACTATTAAGTATTAATATAGTTCAGATAAAAATTTGAACCGCGTTTTCCCGCTGCTCACACACAGCCACGCCCCCTCGACGTACGTCACGAGCAGCAGACTGAAGGGGGCGTGGCCGATGACCCGCAGGGCTTGTTAGTGAATCTCTTCGCAGGAGCATGCTAGGCCATCCAGCGTTTATAACTTAACGATACAAAACAACCACTAATTTCATCTTAAACAGACATAGTGTGAGCGCACTGCACTTTTAAATAACTTTAGAATAATCAGTCTGCTGAGTAAAAGCTCTCCCTCCCAATAAAAGATCAAGACTGTTATTGCACGGAAGAGTTTATCAATAATGACAGACAGGTCGAAAACAAGACATATTTGCGATCATTAATAAGCGATATCGCTTCAGTTCGTGAGGATATGCGAGTCTCTATCTCAGAATGAGGCTGCAGAATTCAGGCAAACTTAAATCTAATGTAACAGAAACGCCCATCCTGAAACTGCGTGATGCCAGAAAAGATGGCACATTCTTTCGCTTTACCTTATTTGCGGTTTGCACACGAGGGCGTGATGTCCTCGATGCACAGAAATCAGCGGATCATGATCATCTGAGGCCAGGCACATGTATGTCTCTCAGCATCCGTGTGACAGATGATTTCCCCTCCACACACAGCCCGAATAAAAGTTACAGTCGGCGTCTTTAATCCACATTAAATGGCGTTCTGCGCCGCGATCCGTCGACTTGCTCAAATCGCAGTTTCCACACTTATTATATAGCGACGTTCATCTGTTCCTCGTCCGTAAAATTGTTTCTGAGGAAAGCATTTCCTCACATCCCTGCAAAGTGAAGCGCACTAACTGCTCCAGTGACGTGACAAGCCATCGAGTTTAACGTCCAAACCCCGTCTCTATAGCGTTTAAATTTCGTTTCCGTCCCCAATGAGGCGTTTTACATTCTGTTTTTGTTTGTTTGTTTGTTTGTTTCCGCGTAAACAAGACCGACTGAGGTGCGGGATCGCAACATTAAGCTCACACTTATAACTCTTTTGGCGCCATATTAATGACGTACCAAAAATTTCCGTTACAAGCGAGCGGATGAAACCCTGTCGTGGCTCGTGCCCGTGAAAGAAAACACCGCGAAAGCTCTTTGCGTTGTTTACCTGTCAAGTTTTATAATGTCCATCAAGAGCCAGCGACAGCAAGCATGAAGAAGAAAGTCAGCGGCTTCTCTCCTCAAATGAGTGAAGAACGGGGCGGTTCGCTCAAATAACCGACCATTTTACAGAGAGTCCGATGGGGGGAGCCATGAGCAAACACGAAAGAGGAAATGCGTTTGACACAAATAAACATGACATCTTCAGTTTCTCTGTCAAGTCAAGATCTTCTTCTCCCGACAAGCCGACAACTTTGCTTGGGATTAGATATCATGTAAGTATTTGACATGAAGTCTCTTCTAATGAGGGAACATAAAGTCATGTCATCATGTCATAATGTTATAACACTGCTACACACATTCACACATTAAAAATATAATAGGGTAACAAATACCTAATAGATTTCACCATTCTTATCCAGATGATTGATTACATTACGATTACATAATATTTTTTTTTTTGTATTACAAGTTTTCTGAAATGTTATGCAAATTGCCATTATCCAATTAAATATACACTCATTTGCATACATTTCTAGAATAAAACGTTGGATAAAGCCAGGTTCAAAATTCCTGTTTAATTTTTTTTTAAATTTTTTTTTTACATATTATACTCAAAAGTTTATCAATAAATAAATCGTAAAATAGGAAGTAGTATTTGATATTAAAGTCTCTTCTAATGAGGGAACATAAAGTCATGTCATCATGTCATAATGTTATAACACTGCTACACACACACATTCACACATTAAAAATATAATAGGGTAACAAATACCTAATAGATTTCACCATTGTTATCCAGATGATTTGTTACATTACGATTACATAATAATTTTTTTTTTGTATTACAAGTTTTCTGAAATGTTATGTTCAAATATGCAAATTGCCATTATGCAATTAAATATGCACTCATTTGCATACATTTCTAGAATAAAACTTTGGATAAAGCCAGGTACAAAATTCCTGTTTAATTTATTTATTTTTGGACATATACTCAAAGTTTATCAATAAATAAATCGGAAAATAGGAAGTAGTATTTGACATGAAGTCTCTTCTAATGAGGGAACATAAAGTCATGTCATCATGTCATAATGTTATAACACTGCTACACACACACATCCACACATTAAAAATATAATAGGGTAACAAATACCTAATAGATTTCACCATTCTTATCCAGATGATTGATTACATTACGATTACATAATATTTTTTTTTTTTGTATTACAAGTTTTCTGAAATGTTATGCAAATTGCCATTATCCAATTAAATATACACTCATTTGCATACATTTCTAGAATAAAACGTTGGATAAAGCCAGGTTCAAAATTCCTGTTTAATTTTTTTTAAAAATTTTTTTTTACATATTATACTCAAAAGTTTATCAATAAATAAATCGTAAAATAGGAAGTAGTATTTGATATTAAAGTCTCTTCTAATGAGGGAACATAAAGTCATGTCATCATGTCATAATGTTATAACACTGCTACACACACACATTCACACATTAAAAATATAATAGGGTAACAAATACCTAATAGATTTCACCATTGTTATCCAGATGATTTGTTACATTACGATTACATAATAATTTTTTTTTGTATTACAAGTTTTCTGAAATGTTATGTTCAAATATGCAAATTGCCATTATGCAATTAAATATGCACTCATTTGCATACATTTCTAGAATAAAACTTTGGATAAAGCCAGGTACAAAATTCCTGTTTAATTTATTTATTTTTGGACATATACTCAAAGTTTATCAATAAATAAATCGGAAAATAGGAAGTAGTATTTGACATGAAGTCTCTTCTAATGAGGGAACATAAAGTCATGTCATCATGTCATAATGTTATAACACTGCTACACACACACATCCACACATTAAAAATATAATAGGGTAACAAATACCTAATAGATTTCACCATTCTTATCCAGATGATTGATTACATTACGATTACATAATATTTTTTTTGTATTACAAGTTTTCTGAAATGTTATGCAAATTGCCATTATCCAATTAAATATTATACACTCATTTGCATACATTTCTAGAATAAAACTTTGGATAAAGCCAGGTTCAAAATTCCTGTTTAATTTTTTTTTTTTTTTTTTTTTTTTTTTACATATTATAGCCTACTCAAAAGTTTATCAATAAATAAATCGTAAAATAGGAAGTAGTATTTGATATTAAAGTCTCTTCTAATGAGGGAACATAAAGTCATGTCATCATGTCATAATGTTATAACACTGCTACACACATTCACACATTAAAAATATAATAGGGTAACAAATACCTAATAGATTTCACCATTCTTATCCAGATGATTGATTACATTACGATTACATAATATTTTTTTTTTATTACAATTTTTCTGAAATGTTATGTTCAAATATGCAAATTGCCATTATCCAATTAAATATGCACTCATTTGCATACATTTCTAGAATAAAACTTTGGATAAAGCCAGGTTCAAAATTCCTGTTTAATTTATTTATTTTTTGACATATTATACTCAAAGTTTATCAATAAATAAATCGAAAAATAGGAAGTAGTATTTGACATTAAAGTCTCTTTTAATGAGGGAACATTGAAGTCATGTCATTCGATTATTACACAGTATAGACCATTTCACAAGATGTAAACAACACTGGTCCAGAAGCACTTCCTGTTTCAGTTTTTTTAACACTACATAAAAGCTGGGATAAAATACAACCAACAGAACATTTAAAACTGAATCAAAAAGTTAAACAAACATCTTTAAGATGTTTTCTTTACATGTGAAATAAAGAAAACAGTTACAAACTGAAACAAGAAGTGCTTCTGGACCAGTGTTGTTTACATCTTGTGAAATGGTCTATAGTCTATTAATGAGCAAGACTGAGCTACACACACACACACACACACATCATTGATCACCCCTGGTGAATAGGGTACACAATAACTAATAGATTTCACAATACTTATCCAGTTGATTGATCACATTAAGAATTCCCAAAAAGTTTTATTATGTATCATACTGTATATATATTAGACATCTAAATAAATATCCATTCATTTGCATACATTTCCAGAACAAAACTCGTTTTGTTCTGACTCTACCATCTGAATGTCTCAACAGAAATCGAGACTCATCAGACCAGGCAACATTTCTCCAGTCTTCAACTACTTTATAGGTACACTACAATTACAGAAAGTTACACTGTAAATTCCTCTTAATTACACAGTACCTTCCGGGCTGTAATCTAAAGCATTACCGAAAGGTTTTATTATAAATAAATTAATTTATTATTTATTAATAACAAATGACAACTTTTGTTCAGGGATAAGAACAGTGAATCATTCTGAAACACCTGAACACCTTTGTTTATGGTTTCCTTTGCAATAAATTATTTGTTTTGGTAAAAACTGTTTCAAAGACCAAGATTGCCAAGAGTCAAAACGCCCAACTAAAGGAAACACTGATCACCATAATGGTGACCAAACATTTTAAAACATCTTCATCTGATTTAATCTAAGTTTGTGAAGTCCGTTGTAGTTCTTGTGTTTCTCTTTCCTTCAGTGATTCTGCTTGTTAATAGCAGGTGTTCATCACTAATACTCAATTATCACTTCATTAATCACTTCATTATCTCATTAACTGTATCACTGCTTCAGTGTTACTTTAACTCTGTAGAGCGGGACCATATATGCTCTGAGCAGTGCTGGGACTTTGCTGTGCACGAGCGAATGCTGAGAGACTTATTGTGCTTAATAATCTCTTTATATTCTCATATATGCATTTCATCACTCTGAAGTATCAATAGTGCTATATATTTATGTAACGCGACACACATGATATAGCAAAATCTCAAAGGATAGACATTTTATACCAAGGTAACACTATGTATCGTCACACCGCCCATCCCTAAGGCCGCTATTGTCATATTCACACTTTTGATATTGAGTCATTGGGTTGCAGCATCTGAATACTGTAGTTCGAAGGCTCAGCGGGAGTCATGTTAGACTGCAATGCTTGTTGTAGCCTAAATAATCTTTCCACCAGTGGATCTCTGAGTGAGTGGAGGCGGGGCTCATTTGCATATTTATAGTACCGCGCATACTAAATGAGGCAAGGGTGTCGAATTACATTCAAGATATTTTAAGGCATGAAGAATTTTTTTTCCAAGGAAAAAACTTTAAATATGTAATTTTGGTGATCATAGAGTTTTAAGGGATAAATTGATCGACTACAGGGGGACTTTAAAGGTCCTGGAACGGACAGACTCTCGTGTTGCTCGTGGTCAATGGAAACTAACGGAAACGAACTTCGTCTAGTGGAGGCGTTCGGTACTGCAAGCAAACACCAAAAGCTCATTTTTTGAGGTATAATTTATGGCTTTGATTTTTCTCACAGTTATAGAGTAAAACTCGTTTTGGAAAATATACATCTCATATAAAAAATTGTTAATGTATTTTCATGCTGTTTGCATAATGTAAACTTTTACGATTTTTTTCACGTCAGGAATAATCTGCCAAGTGTCGTCTTTAAAAAGAGATTTTTTTTGTTGCTCCAAATCAATGAAGATTTATGACCGTATAAGTTGGAAATTTAATGTTCAGCTCCATGCTCAAAAAAGGGACTCTATTATAGCCTAACTGCTGCATTTATGATCTAGTGGCCTACAATAAAATCACCTAATAATCTAAAATATTAAATAAGAAGCACAACTAAAAATAATTTTATTGAAATAAATTCGACCAACACACAAACCAATTTTTTTTTTTAATATATATATATCAGGATCATTTCAAATGTTGACTCCACTCCATGCCCGCTGGCGGCGGTAGTGCTCCACAACCAGCCGCCAATAAAGCGAGGAGGAAGAGAGTGACGTCATCTCTCCAACATGGCGGCCGCGGATGTGGAGGACTTCATCGGGCAGAACCGGCTGTTGTCGGACTTCATCGAGTCGTTTCGCGGCGTGTCCGAGAGCGACAAGCACTGGAAGTCCAGGAGGGAGTTTTTATTCAGAAACATCTCGAACTACGAGGAGGAGCCTCGCGTGGACCACCTGCTCGCGCTGTCCATGGTGTGGGCCAATCACGTGTTCCTGGGCTGCAGGTCAGGGTTCAGGCCGCAAGAGTCACGTGTTTCCGCACGGGAATAATATTATGGTTTAGGCTTTTGTGTGTTTTTTTTTAATCTCACAATTCTCACGTGTATTTGCGCCTTTATTCCTGTCCTGTCCCCCTCTCAGAGCTGTGAGAAATAAAAGTCGGAATTGTGAGATAAAGGTCGCAAGTAATCTTTTATTTTTAACAAGCTTGGCGAAAACAAGCTTCTATATTCTAAACCATTATGACATGCCAAACAGTATTATATAATATATCACCAAAATGTGATATCAAACCATTGTTGTGACTAACGAAAATTGTAACTATTATTCTAATAATAAAATTGTAAACCCTTATTAGCGTATTTTAATTTGAAACGCGTAGATCAGCGGGCCATTGGTCCTTTTCTTGATCAACACTGATGTTCATCTCTCTCTCTGTGTGTGTGTGTGTGTTATGTTTTCATCTGTGTATCTGCAGGTCTGTGTGTGTGTGTGTGTGTGTGTGTGTGTGTGATGTTCTCCTCTGTGTATCTGAAGGTGTGTGTGACGTTCTCCTGTGTGTATCTGCAGGTATAGCCCAGTTCTGCTGGAGAAGGTGGAAGAGATGGCCGAGGGGATCGTAGTGGAGGACGCTCCTGTCTTCAAGACCAGAGACGAACTGATCAAAGAACAGCAGCAGAGGGTACACACACACACACACACACACACACACACACACACACACGTGACGAGATCTGTGCAAGCCGAGGAGTATCGTCACAATACAACACATCTGTCCGATCATGATTTACTTCAGAAGAGTTGCAGTTTAAAGGGACAGTACATCAAAAATGACAATTAGCCGTGATTTACTCTCCCTCAGGAGGTGTGTGTGCCGTTCTTCTGTCAGACGAACATGTCCTGCTCTTCCCAGCTTTAGAACGGCAGTGAATGACCGTGTGACTTTAGCAGTCCATCAGAGTGCGTCTGTCCATGATGAAAGTGCTGGACAGGCTCTGCGGCTCACACACACACACCGGGTCGGGTCATGTGTTGCTCTTGTGGCGTAAGTTCGATAAAGTTTTAAATATGGATATGTTTCTTACATTAACGCATCGCTTCACTCCAGAAGGCCTTTACTAATATAACTCTGACAGAAGAACATCACACACCTCGGAGGACCTGAGGGACAGTAAATCACGGGATAATTGTCATTTTTGGGTGAACTATCCCTTTAACTCCACAATACCTTCTTTTTCAAACTATTGTTGGATAATAAACAGCTGAAACATTCTTTAAAACATCACATAAGATATAAATAAAATATATTTGGTAGGGTTGCATCGCATGATATCCGCATCAGCTGATGTGTTCATTAATGTTATCGTTAAAGCTGATAAATACTGTGTGATTTCCTCCAGATGCGACTGTTCATCATGACGCTATTGAAATCACATCAAAAAAGGAAAATACTGTAAAGTGCAAGTGTGACATATCGGCCACAAAACACAATAATAGTGTGTTTGGGACATGATTTAATGACACGACTTGTGTTTTTGTAATCAGGCTCTTGAAAATTATATAAAACCTTGGATTTTGATTTAGCAGCCAATATATGGGTTATTATCAGCTCAGCTTTCAAATATAAAGAGTTATCGGGCAAAATGTTCATATTTCAGTGTACTCTTATATACACGTTTCTTAAAATGATAAATCATTTTCACCCTGTGAAATAGTTTAAAGAAAAGGGACGAGTCAAAATGATAAAAGATTATAGCTGAATAATTATAGATGCCTTATTATTAGGGATGCATTGCACGATATATCGGCCACGTTATCGGTATAGGCTGATAAATAATCATTTTTAATGTTATTGTTATCAGCCCAACAAGAACATTTAGCTGATATCTAAAAGCTGATAAATAATGTATTATATCCTTCAGCTGAGGCACTTTAGATGCGCACTGTTCAATATGATGCTTTTAAATGGCTTGAAATAAAAACTTTAAAAAAGGAAAATCAAGTGCAAAATGTGCAGCGCAAGTCTGTCATATCGGCTACACATTAAAATAAGAACATCATAATTGTGTTGTATCTTGACTTTTAATGAGGAGACTTTTTTATAATCAGGCTCTCAAAAATTATCTAAATATATGGATTTAGATTTATCGGCCAATATATCGGTTATCGGCTTTTAAATATGAAACTTATCGGTATCGGCCAAAATTGTCATATCGGTGCATCCCTACTTATTATTGACATTTGTGAAATATGTATTATCTTATTTTCCGTCGACTGGTTGAAACTGCGTGTGGTTTCCATGGTAACAGATGTAAACAAAGTATAAATGCAACATGCCATCGAAACATTCCCTTCAGAGTGTGTGTGTGTGTGTGTGTGTGACATCATCACGTGCGTCCCGGGGAGCTTTGGCTGTTGCGCATGCGCAGGAAGATTTACGGTTCAGTCCGAGTCAAATCAAAGAAACTTACAGACTCAATGTGGAAAAAAGACAAACATCAATAGTGAAGAAATTAAGAGTTCAGATGCAAAAGCCTCTAAATGCCATTTGAAATTTTCTTCTTTAATGATGATTTTTATCAAACTTGTATATTTAAGTTCAGTAATTTCACTTAAATAACAATTAATAGTTAATTATCATTGCCATTTAAGTTAAATCACTGAACTTAAATATACAAGCTTGATAAAAATCATCATTAAAGAAGAAAATTTCAAATGGCATTTAGAGGCTTTTGCATCTGAACTCTTCAAATCCAAAATGTGAACTGTCTGTCATGAATGTAGATTTCCTCTAAAAGAGATTTAGAGCCAAATAACAGGAGCGTTTAGATCAGCAGCGTTTATCAGCTTTATCATCTGTTGACTTTAGCAATGTTTATTTCACTTAATGCCAACGCTGACGGTTCACAAATAGCTGGAACTCAAGATCAGTAATACAGATATCATTTTTAATAAACTCTTCTTTATAATAAAGTATCAGCTGTATCCAAAGTGACCCACAGTAGTAGTTTAGCCAATGAAGATGTGTGTAATTTACTCTTGGAGCCGCTTTGGGATCTCCATATCTCTGGGATTGACCCTTATAGACCCGCAAAAATGAAGATGCCAAAAGAAATGTTTGTTAAAAACCAGAATCTAAAAGGATATCAAGATCACTTTAATACTTCTTGAGTTACAGCCGTGCAAACTCAGGGGAAATAACAGAAGAAGCTGTTTAAGATGTGTGTAATTTACTCTTGGAGCCGCATTGGGATCTCCATATCTCTGAGATTGACTCGTATAGGCCCGCAAAAACATGGATGCCAAAAGAAGAGTTTGTGAAAAAGCTAAATCCAAAAGGATATTAATATATCTGTATAATGTCTAGAGTTACAGCCGTGCAAACTTGGAAAAATAAGTGTTTTCCCCCATTTTTGAACTCATAATGAAAGATTGATAGTCAACAGATTTCACTAATAGACCAATCTCTGTGTAAAAATATTATAATAATGATGCTCCTCTACAAACCAGTGGATTACTGAGTAAATATACATTTTGGCTTTCTTATTTATATTTATATATTTCTTTCAGCAAATAATATTTTTAGCAGTGAAGCTCTGACCCGTCAGTGTCATGAAGAGTGTGATCAGAGGGTTTTGAGTGAAGATTAATGTGTGTGTGTGTGTGTGTGTGTGTGTTGCTCTTGTCTCCTGCAGCGGTGACGAAAGGACTCGCCGGGGATCCTGACACACACCAGCCGTCGTCGACTAGCCTAGCTCTCTCAGTGTTTATATTTTGTCACAATAGTGTTTTTGTATTAGCAACAATAAAAAGGAACTCATTCTCTCCAAGTCTGAATATTTTTAATTTTTTTATACAGCATATTAGAAGTATAAATGTTCTTATGATAAATTCACAAAAGCTAACTCTCCGAACATCTGCTCGTTTGCTTTATATCTGAAGCACAAACACGTGAGCGTAACGATGTTCTCAAATACAGATACAAAAACATGATTCCCAGAGTCACTCCTCAAACGGCATGACATCATCCTCGGATATATATGACTGGTGTTTAACTACAGAACGTGTTCAGGGATCCAAACCAACCCCACGACAGCACATCTCAAACTCGGTTAGCAATGACTTACCATGCAGTTAAAATAAATAAGCACACAAATATAGTTCCTGTGTGTGTGTGTGTGTGTGTGTGTTACGAGTCGACCCAGCTCTGCTCCACGATGGCGGACACCCTCTTCTCGTACTCGCGCTTGTTCTCCTGGTAGAGCTGGGCCGCCTGGCTGTTGGCTGGGCTGTTGGGGTTCGGCTCGTCCAATAGAGACTAAACACACACACACACACACAGGGATTATACAACAATAATACACTCATTACAGCAAAACTCTTACGCCATTCACTGCTTTTTCTGTTCGCGTCGCACATTTTTAGTTTTTTCATTGTAATCTAGTCATGACAAACTATATATATCTTTGGAAAGGTCTAATACTGCTAAATAGATATTTGACTGCTGTTTTTTACTACAAATTACGTAAGATTAAATTTTTTTTTATAAATTATATATTAAATTATTATAAAAATTATTATAATTATTCTATATTAAATTATTATAAAAATTACGTGTTTTTTGCAGAGTAGAGAAGAGTAAGAAGAGTAAAACGTAAGTGCGCCTAAAAAAATCTGCATCATAACAGAGTTCTGACCTTTATCACAAAAAGTTGACGCACACACCTTTAATAATCGAAACTTTTGGTTTTCATGCTAAAAGTTCATAATAAAACATATAATCTAGTATTTTTTTATTTTTAAAAAATTAAAATAATATCCTAAATTATATATATATATATATATATATATATATATATATATGAAGAGTTCAGATGCAAAAGCCTCTAAGTGCCATTTGAAATTTTCTTCTAGAATGATCATTTTTATCAAGCTTGTATATTTAAGTTCAGTGATTTCACTTAAATGGCAATGATAATTACCTATTAATTGTTATTTAAGTGAAATTACTGAACTTAAATATACAAGTTTGATAAAAATCATCATTAAAGAAGAAAATTTCAAATGGCATTTAGAGGCTTTTGCATCTGAACTCTTCATATATTATCCTCTAAAATAATATATTTTTTATTATATCACATATTTTAGTAGTTATCATAAATTAGGCATCATTTGAAAGCTTATAAACTCAGAATTCCTGTGAAAACCGTTTTATAATTGAACGTTGCGTTTCCATAGAAACGGTACTCTAAATTATTTTATCAGGCTCCTCCCCTTTTGGGCATCATTATATTTCATAATTATGATCAAAACCTTTTCTAATCTTGACAAAACACATATTGTCAGAAAGGTCTGAGTCTCAAAGTTCCAAATCTTGTGGCACAATTGATATTTGGACAGAAATGTATTAATTTGTTAAGGCAGAATGTATAAAACTAAATTCAATGGAATTCAATGTCACCCGGTGGCTATTCTTGGTACTACGCCTGAATAAAATCTCATGGGAACTTTAATTTTTGTGATATCATCCTCAAATTTGGAACATAACTTGGTTAGATTTATGGCTTTGATTTTATAGTAAAAACTATTTTGTAAAATATGCAATTTTTTGCAACTTATTTAAATATGATAGTACTATATAAGTAGTAGTGTTATCAATACAATTATTGCAACATGTGAACCGTCACACGCCTGGTACAGGAGAAACTGGAAACATGAGAATATCATGCAAAAGCATTTATTTCAGTAATTCAACTTAAAACTAATATATTATATAGACTCATTACATGCAGCGTGAGATATTTCAAGCCTTTATTTGTTATAATTGTGATGATTATGGATTACAGATATGAAAACCCCAAATTCAAAACTAGGTTTTCATATCTGTAATCCATAATCATCACAATTATAACAAATAAAGGCTTGAAATATCTCACTTTGCATGTAATGAGTCTATATAATACTGAAATGAATGAACTTTTGCACCATATTCTCATGTTTCCAGTTTCTCCTGTAGAAACTGTTGAGTTTATTGACCCGGTTCTGCAGAAAGGTTTAAATTTAAGTATATACTTATTAACAGAGACAACATGCAACGTATGTATAGATGTCACACCACAGGAGCGTGTGTAAACTGAAGAGTAGCAAACCCATCATGCACCTGGATGGATGTCAGAATGGAGGAGACGTCATACGTGGGACTCCAGCGGTTCTGGAGAATGTCTAAACATATACTGCCATCTGCATACACTAGACCAACACAGAACAGCGTCAGTCACACACACACTGCTGACCTGCGGATGAGGCTTTCGCACCGGGGGCCGCTCACACTTCCTGCGACTACTGGCGGGCTTTGGCGCGTTCGCACCGCAGGAACTGGGAACGATTCGAGCTCTAGGAACTCCTACTTCAGAGTCGCTATGGCAACGATCCGTTACGTCAGTGGTGGAATGTAACGAAGTACAAATACTTTGTTACTTTACTTAAGTACATTTTTCACGTATCTTTACTTGACTTAAGTAGAATAAATAGTGCATACTTTTTACTTTTACTTCGTTACATTTTGCAGCAATTATTATACTTTCTACTCCACTACATTTCTACAACTTCTGTTACTTTTTCGTTACATTTTCTGATCAGTTTTTCCCCGGCCAAACCGTAATCTGACCGTCCGTCCGTTGTGACGTTTGGGTGCCATAGATATATCGACCTGTTTCGTGCAATTTAAATGCGGAAATTTGTTTTTACATACATAGGAAACGCACCGTGTGTAATATACGTTTGGTTAGGAATACGGCAAGCCAAGAGGTTCAGAATTACACCATAAATTAATCACGTTTACTGCCAAACATAGTTATTAACATATAGTAAGGATATGGCTTATATTGCCTAATTGCAAGCTTGTTTCAGAAATGGTGACAATTTTTTCCCATCATTATTGAACATCATTATAGGAGTATTAGGTTGAATGAGTTAGAATTAAATGTTTTATTAATCATTAGAAAATAGTCATTAAGAGAATAAATTGTTATGCAAGTACTTTTAATTTTAATATTTAAAGTACATTGAAAATCAGGTACTTTTTACTTTTTACTTAAGTATGGTTGTCATTGTGTTACTTCTACTTTTACTAAAGTAAATATTTATCTGGTTATTTGATTTGAGATTCAGTACTTCCTCCACCACGTACGAGACAGGACTGTCAGACAGATCGTACACTAATGAACAGGAGAATACGAGCGTTTGTTCTCAGCGTCGCCAAAAACGTTCCCGCCGGCGCTCGAACGACACCAGGAAACCGTTCCTACGGGAAACATTAGTCCTCGGGGAACCGTCCTATTGGCCACCCGGTGCGAAAGCCACTATTACTTCAGAACCACTATCAGCAGCTCACCGTTGGGGTGGAACATTTTGGAGATGAAGCGAACCGTAGGAGGCTTGTTGGGATATTCTTCTGAAAATTCAATAACGAGTTTAAATGTTCCTGCAGAGAGAGAGAGATTCAGATGAACACTGATAACATCAGACACGACCGCCACGCCCTGACAGAACTCAAAGTTTCGGGGCGGCACCACCTTGTGGTCAAAAGTTACAATGAAACTTGCAAATATGCTAATAACTTTTGAATAAATTAGCCTATTATAATGAAACTGATCCTGATAGATTCCTTGGGTCATGCCGAGAACACGAGCTTTGCCATAGTTAGCCAAACTTCCTGTCCACCATTTTTATTTTCATAAAAAAAAAAAAAATCCACCATCGTTATTTGTCAAAATCGTAAAAAAATAAATAATTAAAAAAAACTTCTAATTACGCAAAAAACCTTTTGTGATTTCATGCAAGAATAAAGACTAGAGCTGCAACAACGAATCAATAATAATCAACAACGGATTTGATTAGCGATTAGTCGATAATACGCGTTTCTATGGAAAAACGCATCTGGAATGTAGTCGCGGTGACGGACTGAACTCGAGTTCTCTAAGCACAGACTTCATATTAACTCTTTCCCGGCTTTCGGTGTTTCCACTGTTGTACGGTAGGGGGCGCTGTTACTCCTGACGAAAACAAGCGATAGAAGCATTGTTTACGCACACTGTAGTGTTATGAAACTTGGCACACTGTTAGAGGACAGTCTGAACATTAACCACAGCAATTCTAGACTCTCTAACTCAATCACTCTAGCGCCACCAACTGTCCAAAGCTGCACTCATATTTATGCTAACTTTTTCCTATGACATCATTTTCCGTCACGAAAATATTTACGCCATTTTAAATAAAGAAAAACAACTACATTTTCAAACCCCTACTAGGCCGTTGCTCTGATTATCACGAAATGTAACCAGATCGTCTTCAGACCATACCATCAAAGTCGATTCGTCATATCGTTCTCGAATAACTCACGAGCGAATTCAACGAAACGGCCACTAAAATGAATGCTATATCTCCGCAGTGCTTTAGCATATTCTGACCAAACTTGGTGTTTGTTACGACAACAGTTTCGGCACAGCGCCATCTAGTGCCCAGGAGATATGAAAAATTACTTCTGAATACTTTGCCCAAATATCACAAAACTTCTCTTCACAAAAGATCTCTTTAGAGTCCAACAATACCCAGTTTTTCATATCGGCAATTTTAGGCCTTAAGATTAAGAAGCGTTTAGATATGCGATTGTCTTCAGTTAGGCTCATCTTTGAAGTCATCTTGAGAAAAATAACTATATTTAACGAAACTTGCACATTAACTTATCAATGAGACACACTGAACAACAGAGATAGGTCGCAGTCGTGTTTAGACGACAACTTTAAGCATGATATGGAATAAAACTTAAAGGATTTTTCGTCAATTGATTATATTCATAGCAGCCCTAAAATGGCACATTAGGAGTATTAAGGACTGAAGCTGCTTTGAAACAATCTGTATTGTAGAAATAAAGCTGACTTGACTAAATATACGAAAGCCTCGCATAGCTCATATAAGCCGCTCTCAGATGAATAATCAATGGTTATTAACTAGTGTTGTGTGTTATGGAGGAATCCAGGAGTGGCTCACCATCTTCAAAGGGCGTTCCTACAGGCCTGCAAGGAAACAGACATAATTAATAGATAATAAACATCTACTGTAATGGCTGCCATGAGTCTCACTTCATCAGACGTACCCAAAAATCACAGCGTTCCACAGCATGATGTTGTTTTCTGAAGGAGCGCCGCTGACGCCGGTCGGAGGGTCTTCCTGAAGTCTGCAAACCAACATGAGATCGTCGTTCATCATTCAGGGCTTCAAATCATTCACAGAGACCACAATACAAACTGTAAAGTGGGACAACAGGCCTTTAGATGGAGCCTTTAGTGGTGTGTGTGTGTGTTATTGCTGACACTCTGGAGAATAATGAACGTCTCGCATCAGAATCAACACATTCAGATGGACTTCACTGGACTGGCGCTGTGGTTTGGTTATGATGAATAGACACTAAGCTCAAACAGGGCTCGATATTAACGCAGGTCTGGGACACAAGTGGACTTTGAAGGGGTGAGAGAAAGAGAATCGTACTTGCTCGACCGGACAAGTAGACTGATGTGAACACCATCACGATTGAAAATGTGACACTGATTTCATTCAACGGCTCAACAAACAAGTAAATTCACTTACATTTGAGACGCAATATTGATCGTTTTTGTTCGGTTTCAGCAGAAAATTAAGTTCTAAACAGCAGAACTATAACGCGGCTCACAGCAATACTCAACCGGGTTTCATTCCTGAATGAATCAGCATTTTCAACTAATTGATTGAGTCAAAGATTCAATGACTCATTCATAAACAACTGCTTCATTCCTGAATGAGTCTGCCGTTTTGAACGAATCGTTTGAGTCAGAGATTCAATGACTCATTCATAAACAACTGCCTCATTCCTGATTGAATCAGCCGTTTCGAACGAACCGTTTGAGTCAAAGATTCAGTGACTCATTCATAAACAACAGCCTCATTCCTGAATGAATCTGCTGTTTTGAACGAATCGTTTGAGTCAAAGATTCAATGACTCGTTTATAAACAACTGCCTCATTCCTGATTGAATCAGCCGTTTGAATAAATCGGTTAAGTCAGAGATTCAATGACTCATTCATAAAAAACGGACTCATTCCTGATTGAATCAGCCGTTTGAACGAATCATTTGAGGCAAAGATTCAATGACTTATTCATAAACAACTGCCTCATCTCTGAATAAATCAACCGTTTGAACAAATCGTTTGAGTCAAAGATCCAATGATTAGTTCATAAACAACAGCCTCATTCCTGAATGAATCTACCGTTTTGAACGAATCGTTTGAGTCAAAGATTCAATGACTCATTCATAAACAACTGCCTCATTCCTGATTGAATCAACCATTTGAACGAATCGGTTGAGTCAAAGATTCAATGACTCATTCATAAACAACTGCCTCTTCCTGAATGAATCAACCATTTGAATGAATCAGTTGAATGAATGAATGACTCTCATTAAGACGTTCTTTTGCCGCTCCTACACCTAGGAGTAGCATAAGCTCAAGTGAGAGTAGATGACCTCTGACCTGACACATGACCTCTGACCTGACGCATGATGAAGTCAACGCCTCTATCGTTTTAAACAACAAACTCAAGCTCCTCCCACATTTCGCTTTAAAAATTCTCCTTTTACACTTCTAATTCGTGACTGGTGTTTTGTTTTGCGCTATCCTCTGCGCTTCTGCATTTGTCAATAACGCATGCATCGGGTCAGAGGTCATGTGTTGGGTCAGAGATCATGCGTCGGGTCAGGGGTCACTCTTCCGCCAGAACTAGACTCGTGTACGGCCGTTACAGTAAGCCAGTGATTCTAGTTTATGAAGTTATAAATATGGATATTTTTCTTACAAATAAAAACACTACTCCTACATCCTACTTCATGCATCAGGTCAGAGGTCATGTGTCGGGTCAGAGCTCATGTGTCGGGTCAGAGGTCATCTACTCTCAGTTGAGCTTACGCTACTCCTACATCATGCATCAGGTCATCTACTCTCACTTGAGCTTATGTTTCTCCAACATCCTACATCAGGTCAGAGGTCAGCTACAGAGGTCACCGCCAGAACTCGACTCGTGTACACCTGTTAACGGAAGCCAGTAATTGTAGTTTATATTATAAAGTAATAAATATGTATATTTTTCTTCAGAAGGTCTTTATTAACCCTGGGACTGGATTAGTCGTATGGCTTTTAAATCTCACCCCCATTCACTGCCATTATAAAGCGGGGAAGAGCCGGGATATTCTCTATAACTCCGATTGTGTTCATCTGAAAGAAGAAACTCATACACACCTAGGATGACCTGAGGGTGAGTAAGTTATGAGATAATTTTTGTGTGTGTGTGTGTGTGTGAGTGAACTAACCCTTTAAATTACCTCATGTCAATTAAAGCACATAATATTACAATAATAATGAACGTAAACAACTTACAGAGCTCTTACTTTTTTTGGTCCTGAGACTTCCACAGAAGAGATATATATGATATAAAATGTATATATATAAAATACATATGTTGTAATATTTACACCACTTCTATTGATTGCTATCAGGATGTAAAGAGAGAGTAACCAGAATAACAAAGTGTTTATAAAACAAATATGAACCTACCTTTAATATGAACTAACAACTTCTAAAGTATTTTTTAATCTTAGTTAATATATATTATTAAAATCAAAAGATGTATGCTAATGTTAATATTATTTTATAGACCTGAGGTGACATGAACTAACAAGACGTTGTGTTTTTGTTTATTAGCTAATGTTGTCAAAGATTATAGAATACAGTAACATAGTATTTCTCATGGTTAGTTCATCTTAACTTAAGGGACCTTACTGTAAAGTGTTACCACTTTTTTGTTACTAGAAATGAGTCCAGAATGGCGATAAAACAGTGTGTTTACTGTGAAGCTCTTACACGTTATTGAGCAGCAATCTGGTTAGTAAGAGCTGGATCTCCAAACCTACACCAGAAGTGCTTTCCAGGCCTGCCTATGATGCCCACAACTACTGTCTACCCTGAGAAAGAGAACTATGTTACTGTACTATGTGGAGAAAAGCAGCAGGAATGAGCTCTGGCGCAGGCCTAGCTAACGCGGCTAACGGCTAGCAGCTAGTCGAGAGAGTATAAACAAAGCGCGCGTTTGGCGTCACATCAACACACAACACTCATGTCAAATCACAAACCTCTTAAAGTCTCTCATAAGCCTTCGTCTCGCAGGAGTAGACATGCTTTATTATCGCCAGATTATGTCATAAAACGAGCAGAACACCGTCAGATTGGGGAGGATCGGGGCGAAGAGCCGGTGACGTCACCCGTGACGCCATAGACCTGCAGCAACCGCAGTGGCGCTCACACACACTTTCACAGCACCGCTTTCACACTCACATAACACAACACAACAATAACCAGGGGTGCGTTTCCCGAAAGCATCGTTAGCCAACTATGGTCGCAAGTTCCGTCGTTGTCAATAGAGTTCAATGGAAATTGCGATCAACTTGCGACCATAGTTGGCTAACGATGCTTTCGTTAAACGCACCCCAGGGCCGCGAACCGAGTCGGCAAATCTGCAAGCATATTATATGCTTTATATGGAAATACTGCCACGTTTGTGAGATAAAGTTGAAATAACTACGTAGTTTTGACATAATTACATATTTATTAAATGAAAAAGTCGACAGGTATGTCTTAAAATTTCATGATTATGACACAAAAAGTTATAAGTCAGACTTTAGGAGTAGAAATTGACATACCAATTATGTAATAATTTTAACTTTTACTCTGATCATTGGGTATTTTGTGTCCCCAGTAAAGATCATACTGCCTTAGTTATATAATCCTGAACGATATCAATTTAAACCTGTCTTAGTCATAAAATAACACACTTTTAACTCTAAGCATGTTGAAGTTGAATAATAATAATTTGAAACATTTTTACAGCATTTTGAACCAGCACATCCACACACACACACACACACACACACACACACACACACACACACACACATATATATATATATATATATATATATATATATATAGAGAGAGAGAGAGAGAGAGAGAGAGAGAGAGAGAGAGAGAGAGAGAGAGAGAGAGAGAGAGAGAGAGAGAGAGAGAGAGAGAGAGAGAGAGAGAGAGAGAGAGAGGCTATATATTATTTTTTTATTTATTTTTTTATTTTTTCAAAATGATGTTGCAAATGATTCACTTTCATTTATCAGACCTGGGACCATGCCTGGGACACTTGATCTTACAGTACTTAATTGTTAGGTTTTGAATATCCCCAGGGCACTTAACTAAAAAAAATATGTATAATAATGATGCGCATGGATTAATCGTTTATAATAAACACGGCAACATTCAATAAAATAAAAAAAATTAAAAAAATTCCATTTTGATTTCATAGTGACTTTAAAACTTCTACAAAATAATGTTTCCTCATTACGAACTTATACGTGTAATATTTATCAACAATTCTAAATAAAATAAATTATTATATAAAAAATACACAAAACAATAATTTAACCGCTGACGTTTTAATGAGATCCTATTGCAGGAAAGGAAAACGCCCAACGACGTCTCTGGCAACCAATCAGACAGGTAGAACGGCTGTGGTTGGCCAATCAGAGCGCAGTATCAAGTAAGGAACCGCTGGGCGCGTCCAATCAGCGCCGCGCCGGTTGTCGGAGTCTGATGTGAGGAAAGGCTGAAGTGAAAACAACCGTGGTCAGGGTGGGACTCTGAAGGCCGACGGCTTCTCGTTTCCTCACAGGATTCCCGTACCTAATTACTTCAAGATCCCTGGCCACATGTACGTTTTAAAGTAATCAATCGATTTCGGGTGGATATTCGTGGAAAGCTGGGAGAAGTTAGATCAGAAATCCGTGTGAAAATCGAGTTAAAAAAAAGCAGACATGGATGAAAAGGCGTTCACGAAAGAGCTGGATCAATGGATCGAACAGCTCAACGAGTGCAAACAGCTCTCAGAAAGCCAAGTCAAGAGCCTCTGTGAGAAGGTATGTGAGTGTAATACACCGCCAACACCGTGTTTCGGTGTTTATTTCAGTTTTCCCTTTAGCCGCGTTAGCTGCTAAGATACAAGATGGCGGATTTTTAAACCGCGGCAACACTCATAAGAAACTTCGATTGTTTTTGATTTAGTAACACAAGCCGACACGTCTTCCGTTAATCTTTAATGAAATCACGTGTGAATATTGAATCGGTCTGTGCCGTTTATTTATTTACGTTAGGCTGAAAGCTACAGTAACGTTTGTGTGAATCAATATAACTTAACGTTACTGTAACGTTAACCCGCAGTAAACCATGACTTGTTAAATTAGAATAACTTCTGTTCGGATCATAACAGCGTTTGGGTTGTAGAGAGTTTCTTAATATAAATGTTTTTTGTGTAAAAGCGAATCGTTTGAATGCAGCTTCTTCCTCATCCTCACTCGCAGTGTCTCAAAATGGCGCCCGTGTGAGAGGCCATCATCTGATGACAGCAGAGCTCACATGCTAATGCTAATCTCATCTAGCTCAGCTTTGCTGCTTCATGACCGAAGCACGAGTTTTCATTGCACTTTTGTGCACTCTTTAAATGCTGGGTTGTTTCCATCCGTGTTTGGGGCATGCTTATATGGTCAAAAACACATACGTTGGGTCTAAAAATGTAACCCAACCGCTGGGTTTGTCCATTTGCGACTCAAACATGTTGAAACAACTCAGCATGTTTTTGTAACTGTTGGTCGATGTTCTGTTGTTGCTGCTGATTTCATAGTTGTGCTCAGTTTATGAAAACTAAAAACTGAAACTTCGATGTACTTATTGGTTTTGGTGAAACGTTTTAGCGCGTAAACATAATGTGTACATTTTAAAGATGTGAAATCAATTGAAAACATCTTATGAATTGAGTAAATAAGAGTAAGAAACGTAAGCAGATCTAAATGACTTGCTAACATTTGTACCATATCAAATAAATTTGAGTCGACCCAACGAGTTAAAGATTATTGAAATAATTGAGTCAGCCAATTTATTTATCTAAATTACTACAGTATCTGCTAATTATTACCTTTTCATAGTTCCTATAACTTCTGCTGGAATTACCCACTTCTTGGTGTGTTTGCACTGCAGGAACTGTTTTACTTCTAGGAAGGCCTTTTGGGAAACTAAATAAGCTTCGATTAAAACCAATCACAGTTTATTTTGTTCCACATTATGTTTGGGGTCTGAAAACGTAACATGGTTGTCCCAACAATAACAGACCGGTGTGTAAAATTCTTCTATGGGCTTTTTTACTCAGTAACCAAATCTGAAGTCGCATGAAAACACAAAAATGCATTTACACCTGAATGTTTATTGCTTCTCTGAAATTGCATAAATTTGCTTTTGAAATAATAAACAAAGAAATAAAACTCGAAATAAAAATACACAATTTTAAATTAATTTAGTTAATAAATATATATATATTTTTTATTATTATTATTCTTAATAAAATGGGACAAATGCTATAAAGAAATTCAGAATTATTACACAGGGTAGTAATGGTGTAAATATCAATTGATTCGTATCGATCCATCAATTATACAGCTGAAGATTCAATGCATCGATGCGTCCGCAAGAGAATCGACTAATGTGTTATTACACTCAACCAAAACTGTAGGTAACGCAATGGCCAATCTGAAGAAAAAAACAAATTAAAAAACTGTGGCCGCTTAAACGCTTGTTTTCATGCTGGATTTATTCACATTCTCACACACACACACACATTCTCACTCTCTCTCTCACACACACACACACACACACACACACAGCTAAGACTCAAGACTAGCTTCAATGAAAGCAGTGCATTAATACAGAACAGTGATTAAACTGACTGGATTTAATGCATGCCTTCCAGCCAATCACACTCAAGTAATCAGACAGAACATGCTAATAATATAATAATAATAGCAGTTAAGACATTGGCAGGTCAGAAATCAGAATGACAACATTATTATTATTTTCTCCGCAGGCTAAAGAAATCCTGACCAAGGAGTCTAACGTGCAGGAGGTGAGATGTCCGGTCACGGTGTGCGGAGACGTTCACGGCCAGTTTCATGACCTCATGGAGCTCTTCAGAATCGGAGGAAAGTCACCTGACACGAACTACCTGTTCATGGGAGATTACGTGGACCGAGGCTATTACTCTGTGGAAACCGTCACGCTGCTCGTCGCTCTCAAGGTGAGTGCTTGTGTTTGAGCGAAAGAAACTGCGCTGTCATCAGTGTCTGAAGCGGTGCTATCAAGGACCCGGTCTCTCTAAACCCCGCCTTTCCGCGAGCCTGCTGTGCTCTGATTGGTCAGATGGCCCAGTTTGTTGTCGCTTTTAGATTTGTGTGTAAAAATACTTTTTTATATTAGCAACATCTGTTGCGCTGAGGATTATTTCAACATCTTTGCATTGCGCTTCAATAAATGTTCCAGTGACAGTAATTAAATTATAATAATGTTGATCAGTATTTAATATAAAAACAGAGTTATGATGTCACTAATGACTGATGCTGTGATAAATATGGAAATGAGAAGAGTCTGTTATCAACAGGCACTGGGAAGACTGCTTTATTGACAATGAAATTAGGGAAAACACACTGCCTTTCGCTGTGCATGCTGGCATTATGACTCGAGCACAAAGCTTTGTTCACTGAAGAAATAATAGGTGAGCGATTAAACGTTACATCACAGCCATGGAAACACTTGTATTGCCGGATGAGAGGTGTATTGGCCGTAAATATAAGCCGTGGCTCAGAGCTAATACTGCACCAGCACGGGAAGCTCTCTGTCCGGGGATATGGGCGGATCTGGAAGAGCACTTTTACTTGAGGACTGTTCTTAAGTCTTTATGAGTATCTGTACTTTATTTTTCTGGAAACTTTTTACTTTAACTTCACCACATTTGAAAGACAATATCCTGCGTTTTACTACACTACACGTCTGTCAAGGTCCTTGAGTAGCAGTCAGTCAGTCTCAGGAGGATGTAGTCTTCTGAATGTAGATTTTGTCATTGTGTTGGAGCGCACTAGCTTATAGATAACAGTAAGGCTAACATATTCATACTAAAGCCCAATAGCTTTAACCTCTTAACTGTCACCCCCCCTTTTTTGAATAGACATGGAAATGCTCATTTCAATCTTAAATGGTTGTAATTCAAGAATGCTTTGGAATATAGACTTAAGATTGGTCTCGTTTTAAAGAAGACATTTGGCAGATTTTTCTTGAAGTGAAATAAATTAGGAAAGTGAAACAGAAAAAAAGTTATAGAAGTTTGAGTTTATAGAAATGTACTATGTAAAACAATTAATTATTCATATTTTATATAAAATATATATTTTCAAAACCTGGGCTACTCTAAAACTGCAGAAAAATCAAAGCCAAAAATCTGAACAAGTTGTGTTTCAAATTTTAGGTTGATATCTCAAAAAATGAGCTTTCAGTGAGATTTTGTTTGGGCGCAGTACCAAACTTTTTCACTAGGGCACAACCAGACTCCATTACTGCCCATATAAGGGCGTCTCCATTTCCATTCGTGTTTTGAGTGATCTGAACCATTATTTTCACAAATTTCACACAATTTATGAAGTAGAAATCCTATTCAGAAGTAGTATGGGTAGTTTGGCAGATTTTAATATGAATTCAACCTCTAGGAATCACATACAAAGAACACGCATGCGCGTTATAGCTTATTGCCATAACACAAATGGTGAATCTATTTTTTTTCTCGAAATATTTAAAACATTTTCAGACCTTTTTTTCTAAAATAATTGAATGGATGCTATCTTTTGAACTCTTGGCATTAGGGCTGTGCCATATCATACCGTCCACGATAATACCGGTATAAAATTGTACATGATAAAAAATTGTCATATCGCGATATTGATGATATGACGTATGGCGTATTTGCGTTACTTAGCGCGCGCACAACAACACAGCAGCATGTCAGCCTCCGGATCAGATCAAGATTTAGTTCCTAAAAAGGGAGCTACTTCAATAGTATGGAAGTTGTTTGAGTACAAGAGGTCAGATCTCCAACAACACAATTTTTTTTTTGTCAAATATGCATGAAAACTCGTTTCACCACTTCCCTACTAGCGTACATTTACATTCGCCTAATCTTCCTTCAGAGTTTCCGCAGTTTGGGTACAACAGTCAACATGATTAAACTCTTTCTAAGATGATTCAATGTTACTATTATTATATTTGATCTGTAAATAAAAGGTCTATGGTTTCGCATAACACAACTTTATCTTGCTGGACTTTATTGCTGTAACGTTAACTAAATCATCATGTTACTTTCTACCGGCCGGGTGTCTGTTAGAGCAAAACACTAGAGTCAGAGCACTGTTGTTCATCACACGCACAGTAACTGAAATGTAAAACTGTTAAAAGAAAGGACTCAATAAACGATTGCATAGCTAGATGCTGTATATTATACACGACGCTACGCATCAATATTTATTTCCTTTGTGCTTTGAACTGTTCAGTGCGGAGTACTCGACGCGCTGCGCGTGCGCGCTGTGACTCCGTGTTGCTTCAAGCGCATCATTCAGCGCTCGGGATGCGCATAAGCGCTGTGCGATATATTGGAGCCTTTCATATCATAATACTTTTGCGCAATGAAAGATTACTAATAGCCTTTCTTCTGTCCTATCGATCATATGTTGCTGCCTCATTAAACAGCTGTGCTATACATTTTAAACATGTCTCAATTTTATAGTAGACTAGGATATAATAATTAATCCTTTTGATTTGTTACCTTGTTTTTTTCATGAATGTACAATACAAAGAGCAATGTGTAAAGTTTTACCAGATTTAGTGTTACAATTGTCTCTTATTTATTCCCCACTAAATGTTTTTTCCCTAAATGTTCCGATTTTATACAATTATTGTATAAATTAGGTATTGTATACCTCATTTGATGCTAATCCAAAAACTATGCAAGGCAACTGTTACATTTTGAAGGTTTGTTTGGATTGCCGCTGTTTGTTTACATTTTTTGTACTTCAAAGTTTAAGGTAAATTTTATTAGGTGACAATATTGTGCAGGCTTCTGAAGTTATTGTTAATATTGTTAATGTATTACTGTAGTTATTGTTAAAATAAAATGATAAGGAGTTATGTTATACTTTTTTTTGCACTAATGCTGCTGCCAGCCAGCTGCAATCACCAATAAAACATTGTTTCATATATATTTTTTCTATATCGTGATAAATATCATTATCGCAAATATTCTTGAAATATCGTGATATAATTTTTAGGCTATATCGCCCACCCCTACTTACCATGAAATCAAACTGAGGTTTCTAACTTTTTTTCATGATTTTTCATGTTCATTGCTATTTCAAAATAAAGGTCTAAACACGCTTTATGAGTATGAAAATATTCTTGTTGCAAATTGATAAACTACGGCTCGTGTGTAAATTATTTTGAAAATCAGTCACCAAATATGGAAACTAGAGATTGTAAGCTTTCAAATGATATATAGTTTGTCAATATTACTTAAGGTCTTTTCTAAGATATTATTGTTTTCAAAATATAATGGCAAGTGTCCCAAGTGGCAAGTGGTTAAACTGTACAATGCAGGATAACCAATTAATGTGTAAATTAAAGTGCTCAATATGTATATATTGAAAGGTAGCGTGTTTTTTACAGTAACTGGGTGATGACGTCATAAGAGGGAGGGGGCGGTAATGCACTCACTCTGTGTTTATTTCTTGAACGCAGTGGCCAATCAGAAGTATTTACGATAGACTCCCCTCACTGAATTCTGTATGCTGGCAGATCTTCTGATCATAACAAACAAAGTGTAGATATATTATAAAAGATTAATTGGTTATAACAGATGTTTGAGATCATGATGAACTGATGTCATCTTTTTGGGAATTATTAATGGAGTGCAGTCATCCCAAACCATCATGACTGTAAGTAAGCCTGCTTGTTTTAATGTTATATCAGTGTGGGTTGTGTGTTAATGCTTTAACAACAAATTATTAATTAGGATTATTATGATGGCAACACGTAGGCTAATTTGCAAGTATATGGAGGTACAGAAAAAAAGTTTTTTAGCGGGCGAGAGCGGGACATAACCTAAATATTGCGGACGGGAGAAAGTAACGTAGAAAGTAGTTGAGAACGTCAGGTATAATAATGACTCGAGTATTAAAATATGGCCGGGTTAAATCGGGCTCATAATTACAGTTGATGCGTCATGTGACACTGCGTGCGCGGCTCGGGTATGCTAACATTTACAGGCACGAATCAGTCGTTTGTCCTTGGGGAACTTGTGGAGCCTCTCCTCCGTTTCTGATGCATTCGTACATCCCGCACAAACACAATAGTTGACCATTTTTGCTAGCTAGGTCTCCAATATACTGCTAGCCTACTTGCCGTTTAGACTAACCCTAACTCTAGGCTTGGAGCAGAGACCAGGGATAGACAGTGAAACGTACCAACGTTTCATATTATATGCAGCATTTTGGTATGAAAAGAACAAAAACAAGTGTGGGCGGTTCTTATCTTTATGTTTAGTAATCTTTGTGAAGAATTTACACTTTAAATAGGGCAATATTTGAGGGAACAGCCATTTGTGTGTCCGCACCCATTGTGGACGTCATTGAGTGCACTCATTCAATCCCACTACTGGAACTGTGCTTTAGTTATTGATGTATTGATATGAGGGCAGGCATAGACTCAGGGGCATAAGGTACTTCAACTATTACATACAACAATAATAAACACAATAAATGCATTGACCTTTACTTTTGATACTAGTACTTTTAAAAACGAGTTCTTCTGTACTTTTACTTAAGTAAAAATCAGTCTTTACAACGTTTTCTTGTAACGTAGTAATATTTGACCAGGAGTATCTGCTTTCTCTCAAGGAAGGAGGTTGTGTACTTTGTCTACTCCGTAGCACCACCTACTGAATTAGCATGTTCATTCAGTCCGGTTGCTGTTTATTGTAACGTAATTCAAGACTGTTTTTGCCCTGAATCTTGAAGCTATACCATCTAGTTTAATGTAGAAACATCTGCTCCTGTTGCATGTGCGCAGCATCTGTGTTTGGGTAAAACGCAGTGGTGCCTCTAATTTCAAAAGACTACTGATAGTTTTGATTAAGGCCAGTTTGACTGTTTAAGCTAATATAGTTGTTGTTTATTTGCTCTATAACAAAGAAAAATCAGTAATCAGTATGAGAATCAGCCCATTTGCTTAAACATCCGAATCTGCCATGAAAACCATGCATTAATTTCTATATTGTGCATTACAAGAATGGTGGCGGTCTATGGAAGCCACAGAATAAAGGAGGACAAATATTGAACAAGTTTAATTTCAGAATTGCGAGAGATAAACCCGTTATTAGGGCTGTGCGATTTGGGGAAAATATATAATCGTGATTTCAGACGGATATTGCGATTTTAATTCCGTAAAGTCAAAGTAGATGCACAAGTCTCTAGCTGTAGACCCCTCCGTTATCTTGTAGTCCAGCAGATTCAGTGTGTCTTTCTATTCGTGTTCATTTTGTCAGCTATTTCTATTTATTTAGTCTCTGTACTCTTAGTTCAGCCATGTGCTGTTTTTGTTTAGTCTAGTTTTCGTCATGCTGCATAATGCTTCATATGATAATCCTGGATATTTTGCTCAACTATAATCATAATGATTGTCATTTGAGAATTAGACCCGTATGCATAGTTTATTTTACCTCAGGATTTATTATAGGCTCTTAATCATATAGGCAAATAAATTAACTGTAAAATTCCTAGTAATCTAATAAATCCAAATGTCTAATGTTTTTTTCAGCTAAAAACACTTATTTATATAGCCCATTTCATGCACTGGTAATTCAAAGTGCTTTACATAGAAAATAAGCACAAAATAAAAAGCAAGCGAAATTAAAACCCGCTATAAAAGGAATTAAGAGGTAAATGATGCAGTTATAAGATTAGAGTAAAATGAATTGTAGTAAAAAGATGATGCATTGAATAAACTTCCCATCTGGCAAAACGCTGCGGGTGTATCTTATTTTGCACATGGTTGCACTCTTACACGGCGCCTGAGAACGCCATTGATTGATCACAGGTGGTGATTTGAAGTCATTTTTGGGAAATGTTATTTTAAATGTTGATGTTAATCATTGGTCATGTGTTCACATCCAGGTACGGTACCGCGAGCGCATCACAATACTCCGAGGGAACCACGAAAGCAGACAGATCACACAAGTGTACGGCTTCTACGACGAGTGCTTACGGAAATACGGCAATGCAAATGTTTGGAAATACTTCACAGACCTCTTCGATTACCTTCCCCTCACTGCCTTGGTAGATGGTCAGGTGGGTCACCCTTGGGTTGTACATATTCAGAGACCCTGCGACTGAAAAGATCAGCTTTACCCCATCAACGTGTGTGTGTGAAGTTCACATCTGATGTTGTTCTCTGTAGATATTCTGTCTCCATGGAGGATTGTCACCGTCCATAGACACTCTCGATCACATCAGAGCGCTGGATCGTTTACAGGAAGTTCCTCACGAGGTATTGATCGTCTTTATCCCTTCATGCCATTTCTTGTCTGAAACCCTACTGTGTGAGTCAAATCACTGAAATCGAATCAAGCTGAAACGGGGCTTTAATTTGACGTTTGGAAATGTAAGTCCTGGAAACAGCCTTGTTTATGAAAAGTACAATATGTGAAATTTTATTGATTAAACAAACAAATGATAAACAATCTTTTCACACACAAAAACAAAGCTGCAGTGCTTCTAAAATAGTGTGTCCAAGTTTCATTCTTCAGCTCCATCATATGTTGGGAAGTGATCTCTGTCATAGTATCATTTCAATGGTTATGTTTCCACAGTCATTGATTTGTTTTATTAGTTTAGTTTTGTTTATCGGCTTACCTTTTTTAGAAATTGAAAGATAATAAAGATGTTGTTTGGTGAGTGAGATCTCTGACTAAAGTGTGTGTGTGTGTGTGTGTGTGTGTCTCCCCTCAGGGACCCATGTGTGATCTACTGTGGTCTGACCCGGATGACCGCGGAGGCTGGGGTATTTCTCCTCGAGGTGCGGGATACACTTTCGGGCAGGACATCTCCGAGACGTTCAACCATGCAAACGGCCTTACACTGGTCTCTCGAGCGCACCAGCTGGTGATGGAGGTGGGTCCTCTCCTCGTGACACCACACACACACACTCAAGCAGGAAGCTCATGCATTCACATTACTCATACATGTGGCCGTTTTATCTTACAAGGTCATTTCACCCTAAAATAAGAGTTCTCTCATCATTAACTCACTCACAAGTCATTACAAAAGTATGATAACCTTTTATACAAAAGGTTAGTTTCTTAAACATTAGTTACTGTATTAACTGACATGAATTGACCATGAGCAATACATTTGTTAATCTTATTGTAACCAGTGGTTAATAAAAATAAAGCTGCTCATGTTAGTTTACAGTGCATTAACTAATGTGAAGAAGATTGAAATAAAGCGTTAGTAAATGTTGGAATGAACAAAGATTAATAAATGCTGTGTACGTGCAGTTCAGTATTAGTTCATGCTAATTAATGTTATGAACCTTATTGTGAAATGTTACCAAAATTATAATAGAATCTGAGAGATTTCTGTCTCTTCATTGAAAGTCTATTCAATAAAAAGTTTAACATTCATAAAGACATCACTAAATAAATCCATGTGAATTAAGTGGCAGGACCGTTTTATATGATTTAATTTAGGCTTTTAATATATATATATACACACACACACACTTGTGAGAGCAAACCTCATTGGTTCTTGCTGAAGCTTTTACATTTTATTTTTAAAAACCGTAGCCGAGTTTACATCACCCTTCAAATTGCGATTTGAAAATGCGTCTAATGAAAACGGTTTAATATCGCAAAACTCCCATATATAGCAAAAAAAGATTATGCTCATGGTTCGGAAAAGAAATATTTGCAAAACTGCAATGGAAAGGACCGTTTTTGCATATTTGCAGTCATGTGACGTAGATGGAGAGCTGTGATTGGACAGAAGACGAGACAGAGCTCATCATTAAACTCATAAAAGACTAAATAATAAAAAATAAAATAAACATCAATCAAGATTGGAAGCAGAAATGAGGGAGAAACACCAGAAACTCCTCATATGAGCCGCTCGTTCCTTGCCATTAATGCTTTGGAAAACACGTCTACATATCCTTCCGTTAAATGTAATGTCTAGTGTGATGGCTCTGATAGACATAAACCTACTAACAGCGGTTGCCATGATTGTTGGAATGGCTTATCATAACATTTCAGTCCATCATTTCACAATAGTTTATCATTGACATTTACAAAATATCACAAACGTTTTGGGCAAATCTGTAACGTGTCAGTCAGTTAATTATCCTCTTTCTGTCCCCCAGGGTTACAACTGGTGCCATGATCGCAACGTGGTGACGATCTTCAGCGCGCCGAACTACTGTTACCGCTGTGGCAATCAGGCGGCCATCATGGAGCTCGACGACACCCTGAAGTACTCGTTGTGAGTTCATGACCCCTCTTTTACTCTATTTTGATCAAGGATTTCGGCCATGGAATGGATTCAGCCAAAATACATGTGTATTTTAAATCCAGCCGTAACGCAGCTACAGGATGCTTTGAGGCAGTGTTGTAGTCGAGACCATCTCACTCGAGTCCGAGTCGAGACCGAGACCAGTGAGGGTTGATTACCTAATTTACTTTTATTTACTTAGAGAAATCCTTTTTTTATTTTACTGAATTTACTTAGAGTTTAAAAAATATGATCAGTTTAGGGTAAAAAGGCCACATAGTAGGTGGTGTTAAAAGTAATTTTATTACAATTTGTCATGCGCAGTTGCGCACTAGAAAATCACCAATCACTGGGCGTGTCAATCAATTTAAAGAAATATTTTATTAACATACATTAATAATCATGAAAAATATTTTTAATTGAACACGAGTGGACTCGGGAATAAGTCCGAGTCCTAAAAAAAAAAAATGTTCGAGTACGAGTCCAAAAGCACATGACAAGACCAAGATCATTAAAATATCCGAGTCCGACTCTCGAGTACTACAGCACTGCTTTGAGGACTGCGGTTCATTGATGCGGTTAAAATGGGTTTTAAAATAAAAATACACAAAAAAAAAAATTTGGGGTAACTGATATGGCAATTACTACTTTAAATAGTTTAGTTGTAGTAAAGACCGCTCTCCATCCGCAGTGTGTGTGTGTGTGATCTGACGTTGTGTTTTGTGTGTGTGTGTGTTTCCAGCCTGCAGTTTGACCCGGCGCCGCGCAGAGGAGAACCACACGTCACCCGCCGAACCCCCGACTACTTCCTGTGAATCTCACAGTATTGCCATGATATAATAACCTTCATTCAGTTTAAAATAAGAGGAGAGGAATGGTGGGCAACAGTATATATATATTAAAAAAAGATTAAAGAGAAAACTGATCCAGAAAGAAATGTCTGTGGACCAAAAGGTGTGTGTGTGTGTGTGTGCCATATCCAAACCGACCCGGCTCCAGTCCGACACACGACGTCTCGCTTCTGTCCTCAATACACTCACGCCTTCTCAACCCTCTGTTTCTCTCTCTCTCTCTCTCTTTTTTTTTATATATGTATGTTTGCACTTTTTTTTCTTCCACACACGTCAGTTTTTCTCCTTATTTCCACCTTTTCCATGTGGTGTGGGGGAAATAAGATGCTCCAGTATCTAGAGGATGATCTTGCCTACGGTGAAACTTCTTAAACAAATGCCAACTACTTGATTTGTGGCTGATTAGGATGGCCTGCCGTCGGAGGAATGCTGGGATAGCTTCAGATGATGGCTTGTGTCTGTATAAAGGGTACCAGTTCAACAATAAAGATGGATCTTGCTCCTGTGTTCTGTGTGTTTCTCTGCTCTAATGTCGCGTTCATTTTGAGTTCGGCCGGACGGGGAACAAACAGGCCCGACATATAGCTACACGATCATCAGCTTTATACAGGAATGATCATTTTAAAGCCGAGCACACTAATAAACAACAGAAAACTGCAGTGTTATTGTTTTAAAATTAGTCAATTATGAAACGGCTCAACATAAGACCATTTATTAATATAAAATCTTGGTAACACTTTACAGTAAGGTTCAGTATTTCGCTATTTAATAATACTTCTACAGCGTTTATTAATCTTAGTTAATATTAATTTCAACATCTACTAAAACATTATCACCATGCACTGAACTAATAATAAACAGCTAACTTTAGTTAAAAAAAACACTTTTATTAAGTAACATTAACAAAGATTAATAAATACTGTAGCTAATGTGTTGGACATTGTCAAATCATGTAAGTTAATATATTAATGAACCTTTTTGTGAAGTATTACCAAAATCATAAATACACATTTATTCAATAGCAGTCCATGCTGCTCTGTTCAGTCTCTCTTATTCAGTTCAGATTTTGTTATCTTAGTGTATTAAATCGATAATATTCCTGAATGTGAACTGTTCTAAACCCTTAGTCTTTTAAATGTGTTTCAACCAGGAGTTGCCTTTACATTTACATTGGACCACTTTACATTTCACGAAACACACTTTTCCAATTAAAATAATTAAAATTTTTATTTAACTGCTTTTAAAAAGTCTTGACTGGCCATCTTGTTTTGACCGTGTAGAAACAGTGAAATACGACGAGGCTCATCAGCGGTGGGTAAAGAAGAGAGACCAGTGTGTGTGTGGTGCCTCAAAACATTACATTCTGAACGAATATCATGCTGAACATAATAAAGGGGTGGTATAATGCCCGTTTCACAAGATGTAAAATAAGTCTCTGGTGTCCCCAGCGTGTGTGTGAAGTTTTAACTCAAAATACCCCACAGATATTTTTATATATATCATGTTAAAATTGTCCTTTTTTGAGGGTGAGCAAAAACGCACTGTTTTGTGTGTGTCCCTTTAAATGCAAATGAGCTGCTGCTCATGTATGGCGGCCGAAAGGTCCAAAAATAATAGTATAAATAAATATACTAATAAAGAAATAATCTTACTAATGACTTGTAGTAGGAACTGATAGGCCAGCAGTGGATCTGTTTACATCCTCACACAGTGGGGGACTCACTCATGTAGGCTGCGTTGACCTAATATTATAATAAAAGCTCAACAAATTTAAAATACCATTGTGGTGCAATAACTAACTACTTCAGTAAAGTGTTCAATTTCTGTGTTGTACAAGTCATTTATTCCGAACCAATAAAATTGATTTTCAGTGCATAGTTTTTGTCATCTTTGTCACTGTCATCTTTCATGTAAAATTCTATACATTAAGTCACTATATGGCTTTTACCAATCGAATTGAGTAGTATCAAATATTTTTTTCCCACTGCAGATGCATATATGAAGAGTTCAGATGCAAAAGCCTCTAAATGCCATTTGAAATTTTCTTCTTTAATGATGATTTTTATCAAACTTGTATATTTAAGTTCAGTAATTTCACTTAAATAACAATTAATAGGTAATTACCATTGCCATTTAGGTGAAATTACTGAACTTAAATATACAAGTTTGATAAAAATCATCATTAAAGAAGAACATTTCAAATGGCATTTAGAGGCTTTTGCATCTGAACTCTTATATATATATGGGGACAGACACAGAACATTTCAAAAACTTTCTCGTTGTCAGACAACGATGGAGAGATGATGCATGTAGAAGCAACAACAGGACATCTCTGAATGATTAGTTGATGTTGCAGATGTTGTTTATGCTCAAACATTACACACTGACAAAAGTTAGAAAAAAAGCGTGTCACTGCCATTCCTTTGACCATGACTGTAGTTCCCGTGGTCCACTGCGCGTGCTCGTGCATTAGTCACACGCGCGCACACACGCGCTGAATCTTCTCAGTCTCAATCAGGCCTTGTTGACGTTTGGTTTCATATCTTCATCGCTCTCACAGCCACGGTAAGAATGGCACAAATCATCCATATTAACGTGTCGTGCTGTATTTTGACAGTGAAGTGACGCGGGGAATGTATTTTTGTGTGATATTAGGATGTTTTAAACGGGTTGACGTGATGAATGCAGCGGTTGCTATGAGAGGCCCGTAGCCGCGCTGCTAGCGTTAGCTTAGCATCACAAACAGCCTGTGCTTTATCCTACTGTGGGGTTTTCTGATTCTTACTTTGAATAATACAATATGTGACCGCGATAGTATTCATATTAAACGTTTTACGCTTCATATATGTGTAGTAGAAGTCTAAGTGCTGGTGAATGTGAGCTAACACAGCTAGCATGAGTCATTAGCTTCTGACTGACATTCCCATTCTTTAATAACCTGACTGTAATTGTGTTTTATTCATGCAGATGCCGACTATTAAACTGCAGAGCTCTGATGGAGAGATGTTTGAGGTGGATGTTGAAATCGCTAAGCAGTCTGTGACTATCAAAACCATGCTTGAAGGTAAGATGTGGCTGAGATGTTGTGCTGGAAGTGTGTGTGTGTGTTGTTGTGAATGTGATATGTGAAGTGTGTTGTAATCTCTGCTGTCTTCTGCTCAGATCTGGGGATGGACGATGAAGGAGATGATGATCCGGTTCCTCTGCCCAATGTAAACGCAGCCATCCTGAAGAAGGTCAGACTTTTACATTGATATATTATACTTCATTGCATTTCATATCACGAGCGGGTAAATTTACAGCCTCCCCAAGCGTGTCTAGATCATATTTTACCACACAGTATGCCCGGTAACACTTAGGTGTTACCTTTGTGTGTCCTTTGTTACATATATTACTGTAGGCTTTTTACCATAATAATAACAGTAAATTATGCATAATTACACATACAACTTACCCTCAACAAAGTCCTACTCTAACCCTATAGTAAGTACATGTGGTTAAAGAATATTACTCCACGCTTAAATATATAATTACACTGTAACAATGACATCTTAAAATAAAGTGAAACCCACAGTAATAGTAAATAATTTGCACTAGGATGTGTGTGTGTGTGTATATACACAAACTACTGTGGAAATCACGGTTGCTGTGCTGGTTTGAATAATAATAATAATAATAATAATAATGATTATTATTAATAAATATCTGTGTTATTATTGTTTATCTAAATAAAAAAACTAATTATAATATAGATAAAGATAATTATGTGAAAAGTGATAAATATATAATTATAATGCCGGCAAAGATGATTTACAGGGAATATAAATGCATACCTTCCAAGTTTTTAGGTCATGGGTCACGTGATTAATAATAATAACAACAATAATAATTATTATTTTCATGTCCACTGTGATTGGAGTTTGTCTATTTGCTCATTTTCTGTTATGAGGCTTCATTCTGCACAGTATTTAGAAGCTTGTTATTGTGTGTGTAATACTCCGGTGTCATGAACCTGAGCCGTGTGGTGTGTGTATGTCCACAGGTGATTCAGTGGTGCACCCACCATAAAGACGACCCTCCTCCACCCGAAGACGACGAGAATAAAGAGAAAAGAACGGATGACATTCCCGTGTGGGACCAGGAGTTCCTCAAAGTAGACCAGGGCACTCTCTTCGAACTCATTCTGGTCTGTAAAACTCACTTTTAGGACAATTTCAGTGCACGAAACTGTGGATAATTGTGTCACTCTGCTCTTAATGAAGCTAAACCAGTCGAGAAGCACATGCTTTAAGGGTTAGTTCACCCAATGATGAAAGCTCTGTCAGTAATTACTCGCCCTCATGTCGTTCCAAACCCGTCAGACTTTCATTCATCTTTACGACGCAAACTAGGGGTGCATGATATATCGAATCAATATCGTTATCGCGATATCACGTTGCTCGATATCAATATCGAAAGTGTCGCGATATTTATGCAATATTTTGTTTATGATGCGTCTGTTCCGACATGCACCGTTGCATTTCCCCCCGAATCATTTCCTGATTCTCCTTCTCCATAAACAATATTAAATCAAGAGAGGTTTAACTTTTCATGCTACAGATTTCCCACAGTGGTCAGAAAGAACAGGAGAGACACTTTGTTTTTCTCAATATAAAGTCGCTACTCGCTCCAAAGCTAACCGCCGTCACTCTCTCACTTCTCCCTTGCTCTCCTACCACACAGTCCCACACACACACACACACTTGCCCCGGCTCGACGCGCACACCAGCGCCCAAGTAGGCTAGCCTATAAACATCAGGCCACGGTCCACCTGGCAACTTCATGCGTTTTCACTGATCGGATAGCTATCTGATTTATCAAAATACGATATTCAATTCCCACGCTATATGCAGATTTAATGGAGTCACCGTCACGTCAACAGTTATGAGCTGCGTTTTATGATCATCAGGTAAAATAAGATCAGTTCGTTTATTTGCTTTTAATGAAGATAACTGTGAAAAGCGTCTGCGACTTACTTTCACTTTGATTTGCGATAGTTTGCGCGTTGGCTTGATGAAAAGGAAATGTTCAACAGCTGCTCATCTGCGGTGATGCGTGTTGCAGTCGCGCGCGTCGTCATATCTGGCCATAACATGACAAGCCTGTAACGTTCTCATTTTTAGAGTTTTTGGAAGGAGTACATTTTACATATGTGGTTTATTCAATAACGAGATGCATTTACATTTGTCCAGTTTCAACTGAAATGCGGCCCAGACCGCCTCCTGAAGTGGTTTGAGCGATTAGATTCAAATACGTCACGAATGCGTTTCACAGGGCATTTACACCTGGTCTTTTCACGATCAGATAGCTATTCGGTCAAAGAAAACGCATATAGTGGGGTTTATGTTGCATAGTGTGTTCTGTAGACTTGCTATTTATTTATTATCTTTTACAGTGTAGTGTACACAACTAACATGTCCTGTTCTGTTGACATATTATTTAGGCCTATTTATTAATGCTGTAGGCC